CACACATTTGTGATGGGACAGAGTTGAGAATGGGCTGGCTCAGAAAGGGGATGGTGAGCTGAGAAAGGGCAGGTGTGCAGCGTGCCACAGGCACACCACATTACAACTGGGAATGGCTGCTGAGAACACATGGGCTTGTCCTGTGCCAGACATCCTCTCTGCATGGGCACAGAACACTAAGTGCAGGTGGACAGGACAGCCAGGCTCAGGTCATACCATAGAAAGCAAGTGCTGAGATCAAAATGGGGAGTAGAGAACCAGTGAGGTCATTAAATGCTATAGGCATACACCACTGAGTAGACAATGGGCTGGCTTAGTGCATGGCATGAGCATTCAGTGATGGGAATGGGTAGGCTCAGTCCATTGAAACTCATCCTGTGTTTGGGGGAGGGATTTTGGGAGTAACTGAGGATGAGATACAGGAGGATGGTTTGGGATGCTGTAGGTCTAGGGAAGCCAGTGTTGTGCTTGGTGAGACGTAATTTTAGAGTGCCTTGCAGGGAAGATTGGTGCCTCACCAGAATTCTTTTTCTTTTCAACAGGACATTCCTGAAGTGCACTGACACAGCTGTGAGCCTCTTACGCTGCTCAGCTGGCATATTCCTGAAGTTTCACTCATAAAATCTGCAACAGGGGTTCTATTTAAACACAGAAGTTGAAATAAAGCTGTAATGAATCCTACTTCTCTAGTTAATATTCACACCTTGTAGAAATGCAGCAGACTGATTGTGTGTAACAAATGGGGCTAGAAGAAAAAGATAATTCTGTAGTAACAGTAATAGATGAAACCAGGAAGAGGTCTGGCTAACAAGAGGGGATTATCGTGTTAGGAAAGACGTAAGTAGCCATAAACACAGCCTACTTTATTCATGAGCTGTAATGGCCCTTAAACAGCGAAGGATTACACCCACACACTCAAACACTCATCTGTCACACAACTCTCTGCCAATTCAAGTGTCCAACTGCTTGAGGTTCATATCTTACTATCCTATTCCCCTACCCCACTGTGAATAGAACTAGATGATTAATTTATTATAGGCTGGATAGGTAGTGCTGCATAATTAAGGCTGTCTTCCCATTGTAAGACCCTGCTTTAAGTTGCTTATAAGTTTACCAACTTGAATTATTTGAAGTAAAGTTTTCTGTGTTGATTTTCTCCCTCAGGCTACATTTGTTTTGGAAATTTTTGGCCAAAATGATTCAGCTGTTTCTGAGACTAAGGCTAGGGGAAAATATGTTTCCCATTAAAAAAAAAAAAAAAAAAGCTAGCAACCTTTTCTTTGAGAAACTAGTATTCCCACATTTTCAACTAGGGACTTAAAACTTGGCAGAGGTGAACTTTAGGTCAGGGATGTGCATTTTGCTGTTTTTGTGAAAATGTGCACAAGTGTGACCAAGATCTATGCCTTTAAAAAAATTAAATCAGAGTTGGCACATGCCCAGTAGATACTCAGTTTAGCCCCTAATATCTCTGACAGTGCATACCCAAGCCTCTGATAGATGCTAGTGCTAGCCAGCCTACATATGTGCCATCCTCACAGTGCAAATGAGCATCCTCCCTCCAGCTCAGGACTTCCCCACTAGTGGCTGCTGCAGGCTAGGGTAGGATTGGGCAACAGAACAGAGAGCACCGAGTCTCTCCTCCCTACCCCATGTGCTCTCAATGACCCCCTGGGCCCTGCTTACACCCACGCAGCGTAGAAGAGGAATCCACCAGACTCAGATGAAAAGAAGATAGAGGAAACATGGAGACTGAGCAGGGTTTGAATAGTGTGTAGTAAATCATAGGCCATTCAATGAACAATGAGTTTAAAACTAAAATACAGAACAGCTACTTAAGTGATCATCATCCAGCCTACGCACTGGCCAAGGCAGAGGTCATGTGGGGAAAAAATATTATATGGTCACATAAGTAATGACAGTATCCATGCACACTGCTAAGGGAACAGAATTCCCCTAAATCTATAGGAATAAGCTACACCAGTACAAGGCACCTTTACACTGATATAACTGTCTACATTAGAGGGCATTGTACTAACCTGACTGATTCCAAACTGATCTAGTGTGTAGACAAGCCCTCACTTGCCTTCTATTTGACCTGTAAGCATATTGGGAAAGAAACTTATTAGAACAACCTTCCAAACAAACCACTCAACACTAACAGGGAATAATTTCTTATAATGAACTGTCATAATTTATTAATTGAAGGGGCCTAGAATTGTAAAGTGTTTTATAGCTTCCAATGACACATAGCATTAAATAACCTTTTAATAGTAAGTCAACTTCTGGAGACCACAAAAATACCCAGAGGCTTGGGAAGAATATTGAAAACACACCATTATGCTCAGTTTATAGCACACCCTAATATAGAATACTGGATGCTGTACTGGCCACCCCATCTCAAAAAGGCTATTGTAGAATTAAAGAGGTTTAAAAATTAAACTTTTGCTAGAGCTACATGCTTTAGGGTTTAAAACAGGGTTTAAAACACTTAGGTTAAGGCCTTCATAGGGAGCACATTATCTCACATCTTCCTACAGCTGGATTCTTTGAGCCTCTCTGTGAGATGGGTGATCCTGGTTATTGTGGGAGACAGGATATCAGACTAGGTGGATCATGAGTCCAATCCAGTATGGTAATTCCTAACCAACAACTGACTAACTCCTTGTCAACAGCTAAACATCAAAATCCTTTTAAAAAAAGGCAAACAATAAAATGGCAATACAAATATTTGAGATCCTTGGATGAAAGCTGCCATGGAAGGGCCAACTGCTTTCTACAAAATAATGAACTGATGTTTTCTTTTCCTCAGCCTCTAATACTACCTGGCTCAAGCTGCAGTTCACAATGCAGACACACTCCTACTGAAGTCAGTGGGTGCTTTCCCTGCATAAGTGACTGCAGAATAGGCTATTTTATCAGAAGCAGCTTTGTGAAACTCTGCAGACAGGCCATCCTCCCAGAGGATTTACCTATATTTAGCATTTTAATAGCTGCTTTAATCTCTTCACATCAAAGAAGACAGGTCTGCATCATCTTCAAGATCCATTAAGTTACTGTGGGTAAATTAATCCCTTCCACAGAACTTTTCATACAGTTAGGATCACTCACATATTCTGAGGTGTGCAAGACTTGAACATTGACAAAATTCACTGGTTGTTCCCTAAGGACTGTGGGTAAATGTCCTATTCTGTAGTTGTGCTAGCAACATTTCGCAGTTTTTCAGGGCTGCTAGCCATTTGCCTGCCCTTTGCCCCAGTGAGATTTGCATTTCCATCAGGCTAAATGAGTGGTCCCCAAACTGTGAAGAGGAACATTTGGGGGCCACACAGTGGGGTAGGGGCACCACCCACTCCTGCTCTGCCCCCAGCTCTGCTCTGGCCCCAACCACAGCTCCACTCCACCCCCATCACAGCTCCGCCCTCACTCCCTCTCTGCCCCCAGGCCAGCTCTGCCTCCCAGGCCCAGCTCCTCCCACATCCCTAGTTCCACTCCCAGCTCTGTCATCAGCGCAAGGTCCTCTGCTGAGCTAACTGTGCAGTAATGGGGTGAGGAGCCCCCCACACAGATTCCATTACTGGTAAGGGGTGGGCGAGACAGGAAAAGTTTGGGCATCACTGGGGCTAAACATATTCCTTTCAAACTGAATAAAAAAGGAAAATAATCACACTGAATTTATTAAATCTCATAGTATGTTTGTTTCTCAGTGAGAAACAGATTAATTATTTTCTAGGCAGAAGGACGGTGGCCAAAATTCGCAGACTTGGGTGCTGGGGAAAAAAAAAAAAAAATCTAGTCCAAAATTTGCAGTGCCCCTGCGAATCAGGTTCTCTTTACTTGGAAGCCTAATTTTACATATATGAGAGTTTTACAGCACCTTGCTCCAGCAGACAGAGTTCTAAGAGCTTCCTTGCACAACAAATCAGTACAGTAGGCATATGTATTTTTACATCAAGTTTGATTTTGTGCTAGCATCACTATTTTTAGGTTTTGATATACTAGTGATTTGTATATTTCCTAATGTCAGCTCTCTGGGGCACAGCTAGAATCTTGGCTGTTAAGAAGGGGCTACTGGGGTGTTTGATACCTGCAGAGGAATGGAAACAGCTTGATATCGTGGGGTAATCACATCTGCTGGAGGTTTCTGCTAAAATGATCAGCAGTGAAGTGGGTGTTGTTCATTTTCGTTAAGACTGAAACCTAAAGGCAAGTCACCCATTTTGATGGGGAACAGAGCCACTGTTCTACAGACTCTCAGCCATAAGGGCTGTTTAAAATTTTTAAATTGAATGGAAGTTTGTATTCTAGGCACAATTATGTGTGAAAGATGGATTTTGCAGCAAGTCCCAGACATGGATTTGTGAAATAGATGGGGGTCTGAATATAATGGCCAGAGACTTGCACGCACCCCCTACACACCAGTTACTACTCAGACCCATAACCAGTCACACGACAGCAATTTACATGGATGTAAAGTCTGTGGTAGCCATATACCCACAGTGTGCCTTTGGAGACAATATACACTCAGAAAACAAGAGTTACCACACATAGGTAACCTCTCTCTAAGATAGACTTCTTCTCCCAATCCATTCTATAGCACCATGCAGTTGCATGCACCTACTGACCTACCCCTCGACAATACCCTCAAACCATAGTCCTTTCATTGTTTTACATCTCCCCTGCCCCCATGCAATGGCTCCTCATCGTACAATAGTCTTATTTCCTTCAATAACTGAGAAACAGAAAAATATCAAAGCACTTTCAAATCTGATCCTTACAACTGAAAATGCCACCGATCAACCCAAGTGAGAGCAAGCAGCAGAACCAATTAACCAAACTTTGGAAAATAAGATTTTATCCAGAGTTGAATAAAGCGGGGGGAGGGGGTGATTTAGATAGGAATCCACTGCGTATTACACCTCTTGGAGTCCATATGGCATCCTGCATGTTAAGTTTTCATTCATGTTTTCCTCTGCAAGTACACATCTGCAAGCAAGAACTGAGACAAATTTTTAAGCCAATTTATTCATTGTATTTCAATGTCAATGTTTTTCAAGTAAGAATTCATAAATCTGGCAATTTATAGAAAAAAGTCAATTTCTATTCACACAATTTATTTGAAGAGGTTTTCAAGTTATTTATAGTTAATTTAAGCTATTTTGGTAGAAAATTAACAATGGTGTTGAAATAACACCTAAAAAATATCTGCAACAGTAATTTGAATCTCACAAAAAATAAGTTACAATCATTTACTCACAAACTGCAATTGGAACAGCATCATCTCACAATAGGTTGTATATGTCAGAAAAACAGCAGAATCAATACTCTATGCAAAAAACATACACCAGTGTAAAAGGCAACACAATGAAATTAATGATTTCAGGTTCATTACATATTACAGGTTTCCCGTTTCAGCATTAATCTGGAGAAAATAACCACTTGGGAACTAATTTTGGCAAATAACTAACTAGAAACCCCATTTTCTAGGGTATGGCCACCCTTAATCTGTGTCCTCCTCCAGGGGCTACTAGCACTACATTGGTCCCTGGTGTTTGGCCTGGTCTACACTAGGGATTAGCTCCACATAGCTGCATTGCTCAGGGATGTGAAAAATTCACCTCCCAAAAGCAATGTAGCCATGCCAACCTAACCCTCTGTGTAGATGCAGTTAGGTCAACAAAAGCATGCTTCTATCAACCAAAACACCATCACCTTGGCATGGTGCTGTTCCTATACCAATGGAAAAACTTCTATGGGAGCAGGCTACTTCCACAATACAGAATTAAGATGGCATAAGTATAGCACCGTAGCTATGCCAATGTAGTCCCTGTAGTATAGATGTGAGATTCTAGAGAGTAAGTCACAAAGGGAAGATTGAGAATTGTGTAAAGTTGAGGAGCTTTGTGGTTTTACCATTATTTAGTGATTACATTCCTCCTTCAGTATACTTCTACAATTACATCTGAATACATATTGAAAACCAGAAACCTTTATTGCTACATGTATCCAAACACTAGGTATTTACAGAAGTTAGTGTGGACAAAGTATGTTCAAGTGACATAAGGCCTGAGTGAACAGATTATGGGTATGAAGGGAGGTTATATATTTCCACCAACGCAGAAGACTCCCACGAGTATCAATCAGTTATATAAGCATCAATGGGAAAATATATTCCTCAGTGAACATTTAAAAAGCAGATGTTTTCAGACTTCATTGCACTTGATAATAAAAAGGCAGTTTATATTAAAAACATGTACAGACCTGAACTTCTATGCAGCTCCAATACTTATTACTCTCTACTAGCTCCTCCTTTACAGTTTATGGAAGAAATAAAGCTTTTTTAACGAATGACTGCTTTTGCATAAAACAGACCAGGAGAGAGCTTTTGAACACAAAAACACTCCCTTCAGCTCCTAGTGCACCTATGAAAAATATTCAAAATAAATAACAGGAAAGTTCCCACACTGATTTTCCTCCTCAGTGTCACTGTAACATTAGTATCATCTTGCATATGCAGAAACATCTTCTCTGCCCTACCAAATAAACTTTTAAATAATTTATGTTGCTACTGTCAGATAGTCATCTAAGATGATCATAGGAAAAGTGACAATCTGTTTAGATATACCGGGTCTACATTTTTAAGTGGACTGAAGGCAATTTCTAAGTTTGTGGCTTAGACCTTAAGTGTCTAGTTTTGGATACTCAAGTTTGTGTATCCCAAAGCTTGGATTTGGGCTTGCAAACATCACAATTCAGGACACAAAACAAGCTCATTAAGTAAAAACATGGTCATGCACATTCAGAAGCAGCTTTTTGTCCCCAAGATACACTAAATGTGATCAAGAACATGAAGTGATGAGGGAGAACAACTTATTTAGAGTGGATCCTCTTTGTGTAAACAGCAATAGCTGCATCTTTCTAAAGTTTTGTGCATCATGTGGTATCCTAAACTGGTATGAGAAAAGCCCAAATACAGCATGGGACAACAAAGGTCAATACATCCCTTTAACTGTAAGGGCTATCAGTTGTTACGGACTACGAGGCTCTCCTGTGAACAGCGTGCCTGTGTAAAATCTGGCTTTCAAAACAATGCAAATGTACAAAAATGGCCTTTATGAAAAAAGTTGATTCTCCCTATTCCCTTCCAAGAGACAGAGTTAGGATTTAGTGTCTTAAATAGTTCTTATCAATGATCCTCCCATGAATGTATACTAGAGACAATAAATCAAACCTCATTTAATGTTTTGATCAATATTTAAGAAGAGTCTGCAGATATTAAAGTGTCCGGTACTAAGTCAGTGTTAAAAAAACAAAAACCCTATACCAATAGAGATGTTTCAATCCAGCAGCCACTGAACAAAAAATCCTTTTAGCAACCATAGAAATACAACTAATTCACAGCAGCTGGGAAATAATTTAACTGTTTTATGGCTTACTGTAATGCATTATAATAAAGTACCAACAATTAGACAGGTTACAACTTCTATTTATGGCACGTCCTCAAACAAAGTTAGGACCTATGGACCTTGAAAGGATACTTAAATGGAGGTCAGAGAGGAGAAAAGAATGGTATATTTTGTGGGGGGGTGGGGGTGGGGAGGCAGGGGGGTAAGGGAGCTTACTTTCCTTATTTCAAGTTAGAAATCCACCACCTTAGATGTCTCTGTAGGTCAGACAACAGATCAGTTTATAAATTAACTAAACAAACAAACAGTGCCATCATATTGGGTGATAACTGGATTCTTCTCTCTTCGTACATAAACCAAACAGGCCGTATTCCGGTAATCCATTAAGTAGCCTCATTTGTCAATTCCTTAAACAGAAAAGATTATGCATCAAAAGTACAGAATGTACCACAACACATTTAATGTCACATGGAGGGGTTGAAATAGGATGCTCTTAGCTTCATTTTCTTGAAACGGGGATCAGCTTTCCACAGTTAAAATCCTAATTTAGCCAATCTGCATAGATTTTTCTGCATTTCAGCGGTAGGTGCTGTTATGCCCATCTGTAACTAGTTTGCAATTTCACAGCCATCTCTCTGGTTGAATGCAGTAGCCACCAGAACACCCAACAATTTAAGAGACAAAAGGTGAGGAAGAATGTCTCATACATGTGCAATAGCAGAGGAATTTAGGTAGGTGGAATTATATGACATGTTTTGGAAGATAGCCTCATCAGCAGGGCCAATGCCACCCTTTGTGGGATCTTAACCAGAAGTTTTATACCATCTTTTTTATACCATCTTTCAGAGGAAGTAACTTGGACAGCACAATACACCATGTGGAGACATTGCTTCAGTTTCAACTCTAAGGACAGAATGCTAATTTTCACCAAAATAAGAAAAATCACTACAAGAAATAATTAGTGAAACTTCAAAAAGCACCCAAGGTTTTATTTTATGTTTGGTTAGAGATCTCACATCAAGTGAGAAGTCAAGCAGCTAAGCTTAAAAAATAAATCTAATGAGATTGCAGCTCCAGGACTCAGTATGCTACATAAGTTACAATGAAAACAATGGGTTTCAGAGTAGCAGCCGTGTTAGTCTGTATCCGCAAAAAAGAAAAGGAGGACTTGTGGCACCTTAGAGACTAACAAATTTATTTGAGCATAAGTTTTTGTGATGCATCCGATCAAGTGAGCTGTAGCTCACGAAAGCTTATGCTCAAATTTGTTAGTCTCTAAGGTGCCACAAGTCCTCCTCCTCTTTTTAATGAAAACAATGTTTATTAGCTGCACCATTAGTCTTTTTTCCTTTGGAGCAAAGGGTCATACTCTGACATCTTTAGGTGTTAATAATTAAGTGATTCCTGTTTGATTTCTGGTGCAGTGATGAAGCGACTACATTACAGGACAATTTACAATTTGGCAGCTTCTGTATAAAATGGCTTTGCTGCACTAGTGCTCCAGATACTGTCCTAGCAAGGAGAGATTCTTCTCCCCCTGCAGTAGCTCTAGTATCACAAGGTTGCCCAGAAGGCAGATGATTAACAACTGTGTTGTTGCCTGGTGCTGATTCACTGCATACAAGACAGGAAATTTAACCTCAGTTAAATTAAGTAAATAATCTTCTAATTGACACTGCAGCTCCAATGCAGTCATCAAGACTCAAATGAGCCAGTGGGATTATGCTGCTGTAAATAAGAAAGCATGTGACCAAATGTGACTTTTTAAAGAGGGAAGTCCCTTCTAATTAAGGGATTTTTCCCTTTTGAGTTTGTTAACCAGTTTCAATTTTATATCCTCCCCACCCCCGAAGCCTACCATGTAAATAATATGTTAAAAGCCCATCTCTGCATGCCTGCCTTAAATTTCTTTTAAAAATATAGCTGAGGTTTTGAAGTTTGTTTTTAGCCAGTGAACCCTCACTTCATGATAACTTGAAAACAAGAGGAGGAACATGATCTGAAGGTCAGAGTGATTCAGAGATTCTGTTTTCCCAGGCCTTTATTCCTGCAGGTGTCATGTGAGAGCTGATAAGACTTAGTTTTAGTGGGTGGGAAGGAATTAAGATTCACATTGGTTCCAAGCATGAGAGTTTAGATATGTACTTAGATTACGGGACAAAGCATTTTTAAACAAATAAACCCAACATTTAAAAAAAAATAATAATAATCATAAGCAGAAATGGGCACAGTATTGACTTGCTTTCTAATGTCAAATTTCATATTGTTGTAGGTGTCCCAGATGTGGTCAGGAATCAGTACTTCAATTAAAACTGAAGAGTTCTCATTAAGCTTGTTAAAAATGTACCTACTTGTACAAATTTGTTTTAATAGAGTACTGACTTGTAACTGGGTTTCTCAGCCAGGGCCCGCCTTCGAGTGCTGCACTATCCACTTAAGTGGCAGCTCATCAAACTCATTTTCGGATATATTCCAGAGTTAGTAAATCAAAGGCAAGCCTCTCAATTTGATTTTTACCATAAAAATTTCTGAGAAGTACAGGCCACACGCAATCTTTAAAACACAATGCAAGAAAAAGTAGCATTGAACAGTATGAGCAACAGACTGAATAGAAAAATTATTTTCAGATCACTAGAACAGTGTTCCAGAGTCATTAACAGTTTGGGTCAGTGTTTCAGAAATGTATGGCCACTATGCTGTTAAAGTATCTGCTTCAGGCTGAAAACTTGCCGTTTGTATTTTTTTTAAAACAAAAAGCTCAAAATAAGCCACGTGGGTCTATATGGTAAGAAAGCAAAATAATGTATACACATACGACATTTGTGTTTCTGCTGTTCAAAGGACACTATTTTTAAACCTTGTTAATCTATTGTTAACTTTTAAACAAAGGACTGTCTCTGAAAATAAATATTCACTGCACATGCACACAATTCTTCCCATTTAAAAAAAGTTTGTTTTTTTTAAAATGCATAGGCCCACCATGCTCTGTTCACTTTATATACATGGACAAATCTAGTTAGTTATATTACAGGATGCACTGCGGCATCAAGAGAAGACTGAAAAGTGTATATGAGCAAAATAATGAAGCTGTTTAGTTTGCTAAGTCTGTACAAACAGACCAATAGCTCCAAGTGGATCAGAACTGAAAACACATATTCAAATTGTTTGAACTCCTATCTCTCTTTCAAGGAGAGCTGAAAATACATTTGCCCTTTTAGGTCTTTAAGCCAGGCCCTCAAAGTAGTTTAAAAGAAAAGAAGTATAGGACACAGGCTAAAACTCTTATTTTAAACTCCCAGTTATGCCACACTACTGCAGAGAATATGATTCTCTGTCAGCGTGCTCCAAAGGGTACATCTTGTTTATGTACAAATCAAATCAAAAAAGCACCATGGACAGTTCAAGTGTTTATGCAGAACTCCTGCTTCAGGTAAGAATTCTGCACAAACAAAAAAACAAAAAAGAACTTACAGCGCAACGGGATGAGTTGCAAATAGAGTTCCAGCATTCACCTGCATTTTCTTATTAACTATAGGTTTAATTCCCACCCTTAACTTTTCTCTGTGTGCATGAGCAACAAATAGCATTGAAAACTTTCTTGTTGAGAACAAACAAATGGAAGATAAGAACATTTAAACTAGTGTAGAGACCCTGTAGAATTATCTAGTTCAAATAACTAACCTGAGATGTACTTTGCTCCGATTAACATTATCATGCTACTCACTATATAAAAACCCAAAGGCAGACTAGAGAAGATACTAGAGTCACCTGATGTCATCCAGTAGAAGGAGTTTCCAGTCAAGCAAACGAAAAGAGAAATATATGTAAATTGCAGTATTTGCGTTAAGAATCATATGAACAGCAAAAAAGTTACAAAAAAGAGTAGTAACATTCACAAAAATGTTATTAAAAGTGTTACATGCATGCCATATAGAGAAGTCCAAGCCATATACATTTGAATCTGGATCCAGAATCCTCTTTCAAAAGTTATTAGGTAGAGCCCATCTCTAATATTATTCAGCATAAAGCCACAAGCAGAAAGCAAGCACAATTATTCCAAAATAAGAGTGAAGGCAAATACCAAAGATTCTCCCAGTGGTAACCTGAGATCACTGCAAGTAGATTTTGGTAAATAGTTATATTCTGCTTGTGAAATTGCACTCCATATGATTTTATGAAAATATGCTAATAAGTGTGAATATAATGTAACTGGAATATGCTTCATGCAAAAGGTCTCTTGTAAGGTATCATTACAAAGCTTAATCTACTGAGTGTGTTCATCCTATTTGTATGAATGTATCATTCTTGTATCTGAAACTGGAAATATAAAATATAACTCTGAGGTCTTACTTTAGTTATGCAAAGTGTGGGCCATTAATGGTGGTTTAGAATCTTGATGGCTCCCATCAACTAGGACAATTGACTGTAGATGGCTCTGTTTATTTGCAAGCCTTCCTATGAGTCAGGTCGGGAAGAATGAAGGCGGGGGGGGGGGGGGGTCTCACAGGACATGTGATCAAGTCTTAAACCTGGTGCTTTTCCATTTAGAAGGAGGGGAGGGGACCCAAAGAGACAAAAGCTTCCACCCTTGTGCCTAAGGTATGTAAAGTGATGGAACAGAATAAAGGGGGCTGCAGTCATGAAAAATCCCCTAGTTACCACCTGAGCTAGAACAAGGACTGTACCAGTGAAAGGATTGGGCCCATACCAGGAAGGAGTCCAGTCTGTGAAAGAAGCTTATTGGAACATTTCATCTGTAACCAGTTTCTTAAATGTATTAGGCTTAGACTTGCATGTTTTGCTTTATTTTACTTGGTACTTACTTTGTTCTGTCTGTTATTACTTGGAACCACTTAAATCCTACTTATTATATTTAATAAAATCACTTTTTGTTCATTAATTTACCCAGAGCAAGTATTAATTCCCGGGGCAGCATACAGCTGTGCATATCTATCAGTGTTATAGAGGGCGAACAATTTATGAGTTTACTCTGTATAATCTTTATACAGTGTAAAATGGATTTATTTGGGGTTTGGACCCCATTGGGAACTGGGTATCTGGATGTTGGAGACTGAAGCAATTCTTAAGCTGTTTTCAGTTAAGCCTGCAGCTTTTGAGGGACATGGTTCAGACCTGTGTCTGTGTTTGCAGCAGGCTAGCGGGTCTGGCTCAACATGACAGGGTACTGAAGTCCCGAGCTGCCAGGGAAAATGGGCTCAGAGGTAGTCTCAGCACACCAGGTGGCAGTCCCAAAGGAGTTTCTGTGACCCAACCTGTCACACTGCTTATCACTTTAAGTGAAAAGGGAAATAAGCATATTTTTTGAGGGCTGGAAGAATTTTCAATTCTGTTAATGGGGAAACACCCTGTATACGCACTTCATTCTCTGGCTGTTGTTGATTTTAGGGTACATAACATTCGAGTTTGTCCCATGTAAGGCATCCCAGTCACAACTGACATTTTACTGAAAAAGAACTTTTGTCATTTGTATTAAGATTATGTATTTGCTCTTCTAGGGATTCCAGATAAATTTGTTTTTTGCGCTTGTGACATTAAATGAGGTATGTGTACCTAGTCCAATCCTTTTTAAAAAAATGACAATGAACTGAGTATTTAAATGTACACTGAATTAATAAGATGTCCAATTAATATGCATTTAAACTGTTCCCAGGAGCAAAGTAATTCCCTCTTGTTGCTGCAGCTTCCCTCTTTCAAAATGCTTCCCCCTCAACCTCTCCATTTTCTCGTGAGTTTGGTTCTTAAATCCAATTTTTGTAACATTGCAATATAGTTGTATTTTTTGTGTGCTCTAGAGAAATACATATAGCATTGTGTGCTTTAAATCTCTCTCCCTCCCCAAATAAGACGTATATTATAATCTACTTTGAGCAGTCTAGCTCAAACATTGTCAGAAATACTTTCACTGATCTTAGGCCAGTGCTTCATTTACCTTACTAACATGAGTTGAGAATGTCTTTTGCAAGGATCTAAAGTTGCAACTTCTCTCTCTGAGGAAGGGTTGCCCTTTCACAGAGAGGGCAGCATGCTGCATGGACCATTTCTATAGCTCATTTAGCTCAAATCAAAATCAGCCTTATTTTATAGGCCTGAATCTAGCCATATGGGATTATTCTTAATCAGTTGATGATTACACTCCAACTCGGGCAGCTTTTGTTTAAATTGAACTTGCTGATACCACAGAGTATGAAATGATATGCTACTTTAAAAATGTAGCTACTGTTTAGTTGTTCAGAAAGTTGTTGCTTTCTCTGTATGGGGCATATAGTCAGTCCCATGTTATTTTTACTTCATAATAATTAGTACACGGATTCTCAACCTGTGGGTCACAATCAGTTTCAAGGAGTTATTGCCCTCCCCTCTCTCCACCCCTCTTTTTTTTTTTTTTTAAAAAAAATAGGGACATGAGGGTCCTAAAACATTTTCCTTTTGTAGCATGGGGCCACATTATGGAAGTGTCTGAGAACCGCTGTATTAACTCATAGCTTCCAGCTTTATACTATGTTTGTTCTCTTACTGCAGACATCTTTACTGATGCAGTTCAGAGGAAGCTACAGTCTGCTCTTGGTGTACATGCCCAAGATTTTAATATCTTTGCAGTGACTTAAGCATCACAAGTAAATCTCCTTAAAAGTTACATAGGAAAATCCACTTCCTGTTTGATTTGTTTTACATCTATAGCCCTTTTACTGCAAATAATATCTTTTTTCAATTAAAGGATCTGATAATGTCAACAAGGAAATAGGCCATTATCCTTTCAACAGTACAGTTTATATTTTAAAAGGAATAACTATTCAACAAGGTTAAATACCTTGATTTCAGAGCTCCAGGGATAAAGATTTTTAAACCTTAAAATGCTGTTTGCTTAGAAGCAGAGATAGACAGTTCAGTGTTACCAAGTGCTAAAATGTAATAAAAAGCGAGGTTTTTTTCTGTCTTTTACAGGAGAAAAATACATCTCCATAATGTAGAGGGCTACTGATGTTTTGAAGGACCTTCAACTTGTGCTAGTCACTGAAGTATAAAATATAATGGTTTACCATTTGCCTGAGGTTCGGATGTCTCCCAGCCCATTGATTTCATTACAGCTTTCTTCCACCTGGCATAGCGATATTCACTTTCTGGAATCACAAAGAGGAATTAATGTAATTTCACGTTAGATTTCCACACATTAAATTCACCATTAAACCTCTGTCCTGCAAAGATTTCCCAAAGAATACACAGCAGTTATTTAAGAACTCATCCCCATTACAACAGAATATCTGGAGTGATAAAAAAAAGAGACTCATGCATGAACAACTAGCAATTTATCAATTCTTCACAGCTCTAAACATTTATAGAGTAAGGATTACAGACTTTATTCTCAACTGCATTTCACTTAGAATCATAGAAATGTAGGACTGGAAGGGGCCTCTGTAGGTCATCTACCCCAGTCCCTTGCACTGAGGCAGCACTGCGGGCTTGGCTACACTTGCGAGTTACAGCGCAATAAAAGGAGCCCCAGGCGCACTAGCTCAACACCCGTCCACACTGGCAAGGCACATAGAGCGCTCTGACTCCACGGCTACAGCACTCCTGGTACTCCACCTTGGCGAGCGGAATAACATTTGCTGCGCCCCCGCTGGAGTGCAATTGCATTACTGCGCTCTGATCAGCCTCCGGAAACATCCCATAATCCCCTTAAGTCAAGTGGCCACTCTTCTCATTGTTTTTGAATCACTGTAGGAATGCAGATATGCCCTTTGAAAGCGCTGTTTCTGACAGCCCGCATGCTTATCTGCTTCAAGACAAAGCAACTATTAGTGTGAAATGCTCTGTGTGGGGGGGGGGCGGGCAGGGGAGGGAAGGTCTGCTGCTGTCTGAACTTACAAGACAGCATGCTGACATGCTCTCAGCCCCCCCAAAACCCATTCGCTCCCCCCCCCCCCCCCCCCACATTCACACAACACACTCCCTGTTACACTCCACCCGGCCCATTTGAAAAGCATGTTGCAGTCACTTGCATGCTGGGATAGCTGCCCATAATGCACCACGCCCAATGAGAGTGCTGCAAATGTGGCCACGCCAGTGTGCTTGAAGCTGTCAGCGTGGACAGATTGCAGCGCTTTCCCTACTGTGCTCTATGAAGGCTGCTCTACGTCTGCAAGTGTAGCCGTGCCCTGGGTATTATTTAGGCCATCCCTAACAGGTGTTTGTCTAGCCTGCTCTTAAAAACCTCCAATGATGGAGATTTCACAACCCACCTAAGTAATTTGTTCCAGTGCTTAACTACCTTGACTGTTAGAAAGTTTTTCCTAATGTCCAACCTAAACCTCCCTTGCTGCAATTTAAGCCCATTGCTTCTTGTCCTATCATCAGTGGTTAAGGAGAACAATTTATAACAACCCTGTGTGTACCTGAAGACTGTTGTCATATCCCCTCCGCCCACAGTTCCTCAGTCTTCTCTTCTACAGACTAAACACATCCACTTTTTTCAATCTGTCCTCATGGTCATGTTTTTTAGACCTTTAATCATTTGTTGCTCTCCTTCCTCTTGACTTTCTCCAATTTGTCCAAATCTTTCCCAAGTGTGGTGCCCAGAATTGAATAGAACTCCAGCCGACACCTTATCTGTGCTGAGTTGAGTAGAAGAATTACTTCTCACATCTTGCTTATAAAACACTCCTGGCTAACACATCCCAGAATGATGTTTGCTTTTTTTTTGAGGCAGTATAATGCTGTAGACTTCTATTTAGTTTGTGATCCACTATAACCCCCAGATCCTTTTCTGCTGTACCTGTTCCTAAGCAGTCATTTGCTGTCATTCTGACTCAACTGTGACTCAACACAGGTAAAACTAAATATGCTGGGATATGGGTAGTGGAGAATCAGGCTTTAAAACTCAACTTTTCCCCTACAAATTCACTAGGCAGATTGGTAAGTATAATCGAAATTGAAGCAGTAGTAGTCACTTTGAAGTTAATATACTAGGAGAGGAAATCGACAGAAATTTATTGCTGTTAAAAACACCCAGACAAAAAAATTGTGCAAAGAGCAATGCAATCAAATATTAAAACCTCTAATAAAAAGGGAGAAATGCTTGAGTCTTGCACATGTATCTGTTCTTAGGTTCTTCTGGAGACAGAAACTTAGCATTATAATGAATACAAGATGACACATTAGTTATAACAGTGAGCTAATTTTAAAGATAACGACCTGCTCTACATAGAAAAAGTTTCTCCTAAAATTATAAAAAGTTGGCCCCTTCTGCAGCCCTGTGTGGGCTGACAACTGTGTGGACTCTTTAGGGGCCACTAGCATCCTTTGCTAACAATTTTCAACACTGAGGACTCAGAGGGGTAAGTGGGATTTTTTTAATCAGTTTTTAATTGGTTGAAACCAAAAGCCACCAAATCCAGTCACACTAAACGACATGCTCCTATGTGAAGAGCTTTGGTATTAAGTCATTTTTGCCTGCTCCATCATTATTGTCCAACTATTGGCAAAGCAAGCAGACAGAACCCACACCTCCCTCCTAAAAAGCCAGAAGCATCAAGCACTACAGACTTGTTACCACAGTCTGAGTGGTAGGGGGGAGAGATAGCTCAGTGGTTTGAGCACTGGCCTGCTAAACCCAGGGTTGTGAGTTCAATCCTTGAGGGGGCCATTTAGGGATCTGGGACAAAAACTGGGGATTGGTCCTGCTTTGAGCAGGGGGTTGGACTAGATTACCTCCTGAGGTCCCTTCCAACCCTGATATTCTATGATTCTATGAAGTGGTACTGCTAATTACCAGTAACTATCTTTACAGTGGGGTGTTCAACTTTTGGCCAACCATTCAATTTAAATTTATATGTATGCTAACAGAAAGGGGCTGCTGGGGAGTTTTCAGATAATTTTTAAAGTTCAAATTTCAAATTTCTTTTACCCTCAGGATTGATCTGTGGTTCAAATCGTTCCCATGTCACTGCCGTCAAATCCCCAGGATTCAGACTCCAAACTCCAACTCCTTCCGCTGCTCCGGCTGCCATTGCAGCTCCTAGTGCTGTTGTTTCAGGCATTGATGGCTTCACTAAAGTAAAACAAAGGAACACAAACCATCTTTCTTTATGGGTCAAAGTGCATAGACAAAGAGGCCTAACTGGGCTATTTTACACCTAGCTTCCCTAAGGTTTAAAGTTTGCAAACCTCCCTTTAAACACAGTTGTCACGGTTACTGGTCTAATATGTCTGACCTCAATGGAGTGCATCTCCCTCAAGCTTCTAGCCTTCTCTCACAGCCTCGGGCTGTGGTTCCCAGATGCTAACCACCATTACCTCAACAAGCCTGACTTATGTTCAATACCTGCAGTTCTGTGCCCTCCTTAGTCAGTGACTTGTGGTTATCACAGTGACCAAATAGCCTTCTTAAAGCTAAGTATTATTTATTTAGAACAAAAACATTTCAGAGAAAATTAGTATTAAAAACTATACACACATCTAGCTAGACAGGTGTCTTTCCATCTTCCGCAGGGGGGAGGGAAGCAGGAGGGAGATAATTCTTCCTCCTGTCTCTGCTCAGTCTTTCTGATCCCTTCCCTTCTCAGGGAACACATCACTTTAATTATTTACAACCCTTCGGTCTGTTAACTCTCAGCCATGGCAAAAATAAGGCTCGCAACTTCACTGGAGACAGAACATGGGATTCTCAAAGTTATGAAGTGTGTGCCAGGGCTCTCTTATCTGGGAGCCATTGTGTTGCCTTCCTGCTTGTTTTTCCAGCAACCCGTATTAAGTTAGCTCTACACACTGACACAGAAAATTCTATTAACTCAATACAACTATATGGAAACTACCCTGGCCAGGTCAGATACCACATTAATAAATTACATATCAGTATTCGCAGCAGCTCCACATTGCCACAGCAGTATTACAGTAAAGGTTTGGGAAAGGTGTTCTATTCTCACTGCTGCTGAAGTTCTGCAATCCTATAAAAGTTTTGTGGTATAATACTGCAAGAGGCTTTAAAGAGCAACCCACTTAGAGCAATGGCGCTCAGTCTCAAGAGCTGAAGAGCCTTTTCACCATACAATGGCCTTGCAGGCATAGCTTGATGCCCTTTATTATAATCCCGTTGCGCTGCTGTTGCATCAATATCTTTGGTCTGTGAAACTTCATTTCCTGAAGAAGTGGCTCTTTATTCCCCTCAGCCGGCCTCTTCCGAGGGAGGGATCTTATCTAGGTTTCTGTACTACATTCACCACATTAATACATGGAAAATCCTTAAATTATTTTCTTTTCTTCCTTCTCCACCCACCTCTTCATAGCCAATGTGGGAGATACCCCTTCCCCCCACATCATTGGGTGCAGAACACAGTGACATTTCTCTTCGGTCTTTCCACATTCTACACTTTGAGTCATGGAACTTCCTTCCACTTAAGTCACGTGGCAGAGCCGAGAGGGCAGAATGAAGGGGGGGGGGGAGAAGAGGGTAAGGCGGTGGGGGGGGGGGGGAGTACAACTCCTAGCAGCTGCCACCCTACTGGCGATTTTGTTTAGCGCTCCCCCATATATATGATGCAGTTGGGGTGCAATCTTGTGAACTGGCCTCTACATCAGACTCCAACAACCTACATGTGGGTTTAGAATCTGAACCGCGATGAGAAACCTTGTGTAAGAAGAACCTGCACCAGATCTTAGACCTCTACTATGATGCTGTAATGCTTCAGTAACGGAAGTCAGAAAGAGCCAAGCACCTCTAGAATACTACAATCCTTATTGGGCCTTGGACACTCCCCTCCCACAAACCAGGCTAGCCAGCGCTTTTATTTAAATCCCCATCCCACCCCCGAACAGTGATGGGAAGGGCCAGCAGCAAAAAAAGCTAATACTTTACATATGAAGTTTGTTCAGCTTTTTAGACTCTGTGTTCTTGAGAAGTCTAAACAGTCAGTTTGCACTTACCTACTGGAATACATAGAATATCTGCTTGGAGCTGCATGAGAATCTTGTTGTTAGTCATTCCTCCATCTACTTGTAACTCGCTCAGTGGTATCCCGCAGTCCTTGTTCATAGCATCCAAAATCTGAAAGAAGAGCACTACATATTATACATTTTACTGTGCAGAAACACAAGAGCCTCTTTCAATACAAAGAAAGAGTGTTGAAGAATTCCAGACTGAGAACATTCCTCTGAAGTCCTATTCATCCACAAAAGAGAAAGCAGGCAGTGACAATACTGGTTTGCTCCCACATTACTCAAACATATACTCTTAAAATATGTGTACGGGAAAGGTGTTAGACTCTCTACAAGTCTGTAGCAGTAATAAGAGTCTACAAACCATGCTTAAAAGGCCCATGTACATCAGACCTGAATAAAAATATATCTAACCTCTAGAGCCGAGAAGATGGCTCTTCACACAAAGTTGACCCCGGAGACTCAGACTACCAAATGGAGACCTTTGACTGCCTAGACAGGTTGTTTAGAGGTCTTCCACAGTTCTTTGGGCAAGGAAGAGGAACTGAGGTGAAAGAAGATCGTAAGGATTTACTGATGGCAGTTCATAAAAAGAATGAACTTGTAATGCTGTGATTTATTGTAGGGGTAGACTGGTTGGCCCATCAGAGCAGGGACTGACTTTTTTTTTTTTTTAAAACCACAAAGAGCTCAGCACAGTGGGGCCCAAATTAGCATCGGACACTGTAATATTAAATATTTGTTATGATAAGGTGAAATGCTTACAGAGGAGAACAATTCTAGAGGTGGAATATGCACTATGGCTCAGATGTGTAAAGGTAGGGAAGCACTGCTGTGCTCAATATTGCAACACCTACCTGATTTAACAGCCTAAATCTCACGGACTATCAATGGGATTTAGATTCTTAAATGCCTAAATCATTTTTTGAAAATGAGATTTAGGCTCTTAAATCAGATAGGTGTTGGAACACTGAGCACAGCAATGTCCTGATAGATGTACAAATCTGGGGCTACTAAACTTAACTGGATCTTTTCATCAGCTTGTTGGAGAAATTTTTAAATACCACAAGTCATTATTGTTTATAGTCAAACTCAAAAACAACCCTCCTCCCCCAGAAGTTAGGAGCAAGTTTGCCTTTACCTCTCGTGTTTGAAAGCAGACAGCCTCTAATGCAGCGAAGGCAATGTGGTTTTTATTTGTAAACTGAGTGAGGCCACAGATAATACTGTTAAGACAAAACAAATATTAAGCGACTAAGATCACGAATCTTGGTCAGATTATGTTTCAGTCTTACACCTGAGATTTTCAAGCACATTCGTATTGCACTGCGTATAGATACTGTGGTTTAAAGTTAGAACACCTGAAAATAGAATAAAAACCTCTCATGGTAATGTTTTAAAATCCCATTGACTATTCTCCCCTTGGATTTTAATCCTAAAAATGTCTTTGTTTTACATACAGAACACAATTATCTTTATAACATGGATACTTCATTTCATTGCCACACAGGGAAAAAAACAAACCAACTAATGTTACATTCTACTAGTTCCCCCCCCCAAAAAAGAGATGAAGTATGCAAACAGGATGACTTCCCCAGGCAAACCATCTCGTGTTTCAAAAGAACCTCTGATTTCCTCCATATACTATATCTGTTCTTTCAGTTCTCAAACAAGGGCTTCACTGGGGACAGGACTATGTTCTTGGTACGTAAAACTGTTACCCAGTCTGCGTTAAACAAGTAATAGTCAAGTTCCAACAAAAGTAGTTTGGGGTCTGTAAGTAATGCAGTATTTGCCCTTACATTAATTGCATCAAGCAATGGTACTTTGAATATGATAGCAAGTCAACCTAATTTTTCAAACAGTTCTACATCTGAATGATGCATTAACATACAGTGCACAAAAACCCAGTTTGATGCGATAAGGAGTACAAGCCAATTTATATATTATTTTAGACATTCTCTTAGAATTGATTTTGGCATGGGTCACAGCTAACAAATGTTGAAGAGTGGCCTGAAAAATTAGCATCAATATTTTTATACAAAATTTTGTCTTAATTAAAAAAAATCTTGAACAGGTGGACAAGAGGTTCAACAGGACTGCATAGGTGTTACACTAAATGGGATGCCTATTTTAAAGTTTTAAAAGGTGAGGTTACCCTCCCCCACTCTCTCCTCCTCCCTTCTTTTTTTCAAAGAAGGAAGGGTAAGTGACTTCTTAAGAGTTTTAAGAAAAAATATTTCACATTTAAATAATGCTTGTGGTGCTCCCACAGGTCCCACTGCCAAGGCCCACTGAGACCGGGAAAACTCAGCAGCAGCAGAGCGCAAACTTGAAGAGACTACTACTTGAATGAGACTACTTGGTGAGACAGCAGGGGGTGGTGCTCTCCGGTGACCCAAAAACAAATTCAAGGAAGTTTGTGTTTTGAAAGATCCATGATGGTTAGTGGTTCTGGTTGCCCTCTAGCAGCCACCTATGGATTTTTCAGAATATAATGAGTCATTCCTGCAAATATAATTGTTATCCTTACCCTCGTGCACTGGGTTCCCAGTATGGTGCATATAATCCCGAGAATGCTGGGACAAAGTAGCAGCCATAAGAAGTTCCCACTTCTGCAGCAAGTTTTTCTAGCACACATACAAAAAGCCTTTAGTTTTGCACAAATACATCTAAGTCTAAAGAAACATTTAATTTTGCCATCTGCTCCAGAAATTATTTAAGAGACAAAATACTTCAAAGACACCACACATTTATGAAAACAGTTAACAAAATCAACTGCAGTTAGAAGATACACCTGGCTACTCTGACATCTAGATGGTTGTATTATTGTTATTCAGCCAGTTACAATGTTATTCAATTAAATTTGATCACCGAACCCCGCATAGGTCCCTGTGGAAAAAAAACAAGCTGAAATTCATTACCAGGAACACACCAAAAAACTGGTATCACAGGACTAGAATCTATTTTCTTCTGAAAAGCAAGATGCCTCAGAGTCTGAGCAATGCTCAATTAGGTTATGTCTACACTGGAAAAGACACCTTCCAGCTCCAGCTTTGATACATATACCTGCACTAGTTTGATCAGAGCTAGCACACTAAAGATAGGCGCAGTGGTGGGACAGGCTAGTCACCCTAAGTACAATCCCATCTGAAATCCTAAGTATGTTCTCAGTGTGGCTAGCCTATCTAGCTGTTGGTGTAAGTATGGCTACCTTGCTATTTTTAGCACGTTAGCTCAAATCAAAGCTAGCATGGGTATGTCTATCTGAGCTGGAATTTACCCCTCTAACCCCTGTGTAGACATACCCTTAGATTTCAGTAATGAGGAGCCATTTTATTTCTCCCTTTGCAATTCTGGATATTTCATTTGGTTCTTGGAAGGGACAATATATTTAAGAGTTGCACTTTCGAAAGTTTTACCTACTATCGTTAAAGGTAGCACCCGTGCCAACCTTAACTGAAAAATGAGTATTGCTTTCTTTCCGCTCCCGTCCAACTTATTTGCTTTCTGCATCTGACAATACTGTAGAGTCTGTTTCATAGTTTCCCCTGTACAGTGAAGTAAATTTCCCCTGTTTGTGTGGATGAAAACATAGACACTAAGAAGAGGAATAGGAATATGCAATTATAAACTACAAAAATTGGTGAGGAGAAAGTAGGGTCATGCATAGGATCTGCAACTACTTTCAACTCTTCTGAAACTGAACAGGTTTCATGCTGACAATGCCCCTTTAGAAAAGTATTCATGTGTAGATAATACATTTTCCCTCTAAAGAAGTTCTCTGGGATTACCCACAGATGAGGGTAATAAAGATATGTTCCTAAATGCTGAGCAATGCTGACAAAAACTGAAGATTGAACCATTAAAATGTTCAGAAGTTCAGCTGAAGCTGTGCAGGAATCACGCAACCCCAGCTCCCACGGAAGGCAGTGGGAACTGGGGATTCTCAGCACTTCAGGATCTATCTATTTAGATGTCGAAATATGGATTTAGGAGCCTAACTTTATAAAATAGGTTCGATATTCGACTCTTACCTTTTTTATTGTAATACAAAACATGAAATCTATTCAGATTTGGTGTAAAACTTACAAGGCTGTCCAAATGACTGAGGAACCTTTGTGTCATTGACCAGGCTTTTTCAAAATTTTATCCCATGTATCTGGATAATTTTTCAGAAGTCAATTCTGTTCCAAAATTTCAAAGCACTACACATCTGCATTTTTAGTTAAATTTTCTAAGAATATAAAAAAGTGTTAGCTACCCTGGTTTCTCCTGGTTAATCCATTCTCAGGTAAAATGGATTATCCTCAGATATTACATTCACAGTCCAAGTTAAATGTCTTTTGGTACAGTACTGCAAATTGAGGTATTAAGTTTTCAATGAACTCCATGCACCCCTTGCACAGAGTGCACTGCAGGTCTGGGGCCTCAGTCCCCCATTTTTTAGTATGGGAACAAGTTTGTAGGTGTTATGACACAATTTTCAGTGGACTACACAGTGAGACCTGTATACTATTTATCCCAAACTTCTCAATATTAAATGAGCCAATAAATCTGCTATGTCAGTGTAGCACAGCTCTTAGTAATTTCTACATACTTCAGCAGTAACAAGAGGTTTTCCTAGACGAGCAACAGTGCTATATGTAAAAAATGTAATTTTACGTATTTTTTAGTAATTGCAGAAAGAACTGGTTATACATCTATGCATGTTTTACTATAGTCCCTCTCTTCTATTTTACTTGCATCTTTTGACCTTTTATTCAACACTAGAGACTTCAAAACTGTGTCAGCCCTCTATTCAGTTTGAAAAAAACGTTTACAAGTTATGAATACTCACCAACTTCACTTGAAGACTTTACTATACCAAGATTGTCCCGTAGCCAACGAACAACAGCACCAGCTATGGCAACAGAGCCCTAGGGAAACAGAAAACAAATGGTCATAGCTGGAGTTTACTAATTTCTAGCATAAAAAAATTCAAGAGTTCAGAAAGGTGGGACAAAAACGCCTAAATATCATCTTTGCAGATCTAGGACCCTGGGGCTCGCCAGGACTGCTCTAAATTGTATTTGACCACCACTTTGGAGCCACAGGCGTCCAGGGGCTGGGGGAGTGTCAAAGCACAGCGGTGCAGGAAAGTCAACACTACTCCAGTTCTCTACCACATAGAGATCTGTTTCCCCCCTGAAGAAGAATTGTGAAGATGTTGGTCAGACTGGCTTTATGTCGCAGGCCCCTGAGCGGTCATATCTAGACTTCTGTATACACAGTTGCGAGGTCTGAATGCCTTATGTATCCCAACCTAAGACCTCCAAATCCTGATGATACAAAAAGTGTGCTAAACTTCAGACCCATGAATGGTTCCACTGACTTTGGAGTGACTACTCATGTACTTAGTGTTTGGAGGATCAATGTTTACGAACATAGAGCCTTCCACAGGTTTGATAGATGCTCCTGATCTTTTAGAAGTTTACTCTAAAAAACACTACATTAGATGACAAAGCAATACCTAGTCACGCTTGCCCTGAGTGAGGAGTGAAGATAATTAGTTTTAAGGGTAACAGTGTATATTTAAGAATGGAATAGAAGGTTAGGACTTCCTCTTATTTTTTCCTTTTTGTTTACTGTATGTGTAGATGGTCTCTCATAAACATGTTGACGTAATTATGGCTTTTGTGCACATAGAAGGATTTACTTTTCCATCTGCTGGACAGTTTTTCTGAATCAAGATTCCAAGAATGGGGGGGAGGAGGGGAAGGGTCATAAAGGTGTGTGTGTGGGAGGGAAGCAATTGCCACATATACTTACTTCTAGTGCATAACATACAGGTTTGTCTCTTCCCAGTTTGTAAGCCACTGTGGTCAGAAGGCCATGTTCAGACAATACAGGCTAAAAAATAAAATATGGATAAACCATCAACTACTTGAACGGGAAAAGTCAGGAGTCACATTTCTAAGAGAAATTACTGCATAAAATACTGTAAAATAGTCAAATTAGAAGGAGAGGTCTTTATTTATAAAGAGTAAAGGAGAAAAAACAAATTCTTTAGCATAACAGGTGAGTAAGTTTAGAAACTAAATTAGCCAATGTTTTAGCACAGATCCCAATCCGCAACCCATGGAAACTTGTTGATTCTGCTTATTTCCAGAAGCTTCCAGGGTCTTCACTGCAAAGAAGAACCTGGAGGCTTGCAGAAGAAGCTGGTAACAAGGAGCAGACTCAAGCTTAGCTATCTCTAGACTGGAGCTGCTAGGCAAGAAAGAAATTTCCAAGAAAACAGAAGGAAGGCAATTGAAGTATTCAAGTAGTACTGCCAAGGGACTAGAAGAGGAGCAGACGGCTAGGGGAACAGGGAATCAACAGGCAGAAAAATGTTTAGGTGAGGCAGAAAAGCATATGCAAAAGAACAGGGTGAGATTATGAAAGTCTGTCATTTCCCTTTTTAGCAAGTTAGGAGCCAGGAAATGGAGCTTCACCAAGCCATAGGTTGAATGAAATGTTGCTTTCTAGTCTTGTAGATTAGAAGATGCCCCTTTTCCCGCATCTGTAGGAACTATATTAGCAACTTTAAGTGGAACAAGAAAAACTAGTTTTAAAGTGGTACTTTGCAGAAGTTATTTTAAATGACTGAAGCTTAACAAGAGAGTACATGAGCACAAATGAGCTAGTTTCCTTTTTGACCTTTCGTATATTCAATTGTCTGCTATTAACATTTGTTCTACATTAAAAACATAAGGTAACTTTGCTTAATCCTATGTGCATTATGCACTTTATGACATTGCACCAAAAGAAAAAAAAAAAAACACATTCCAAAATATTATAGGGGGATGAGGAGGAAGTGAAGTGACTCACGTGATACATTTTCCTATTGAGTATGAAGGGTTTATGGAACAAGATCTGCTTATTTAGCAAGAGAAGCAACTTAATTGAAAAATGCATACTCCTAGCAAGCTATTTCTAATTCAAGCAACCAACCTTTTGACCTGTATTGCAAAGCAAGAAACATCCTGTTCCGTACCTGTAGTGGAAAAAGACATAAGGTAGTAATTTATAAAAAGAAAATGAAGAACCAGGAACAGAAGACAGACATCTGTGACATTCATTTATCACAGAGTTATGGGCATTTCATGATAAGGCAACTTAATATAGCAAAACATCACCACCACCTTACAATTAGTCTAGGAGTAATTTATAAAATGAGCTTCGTATAAATCTTAGTTGAATTATGTCTCCAACTTTTAAGTGAGCAATTAAGGAAGAAGGGCAGTTTGCAGAGCTTGTAATAGGATGAGTAATTTTAAGACTATAACTACAAGACAGGGTGGATAAAAATCAATGATTTTTAAAAAAAATCGTTTTATTTAAATTGGATTTTTTTGATAAAATGCTTTTTGGAGGACAAAAGCAAAGATAGTTTTAATTAAGATACATTATAGCTCAAAGATCTCTCATCATGGAAGAGGGATTATGAATTCTAATTCTCTAGTATGAGACAATATATTCATGTAATGTTTTGTAAATGAGTTCCATTAGTTCATGGATTAAGGACCCAATTTTATGGTGTTCTACAGGCTTCTGTATAGATTTAGGTTAATCTTTCTATCTACCCAATGGGACTCAATGCTCAATCTAGAACAGGGATCGGCAACCTTTGGCACACAGCACGCCAGACTAAGTTCCCTGGAGGGCCAAGCCAGTTTGTTTACCTGCCGCGTCCGCAGGTTCAGCCGACTGCGGCTCCCACTGGCCACGGTTTGCCTCTCCAGGCCACTGGGGGCTGCAGGAAGTGGTGTCAGCACATCCCTCTGCCCGTGCCACTTCCCAATTGGCCTGGAGCGGCGAACCATGGCCAGTGGGAGCTGCAGTCGACCGAATCTGTGGACGCGGCAGGTAAACAAACCGGCCCGGCCCGCCAGGGGGCTTAGTCTGGCATGCCGCATGCCAAAGGTTGCTGATCCCTGATCTAGAAGATACCATCCGAGATGCTTAGTTTTGCAGTTCTCAAACTGTCCATTTGTGTCTCCAGAGGTAACATGCTTGTTAACAGCAAAAAATGTTTTTAAATAAAATAAACAAACAGACCTCAACCCTACTGTCCCGCTGCAAATTTGTGTACACAGCGTCAATCCCCTACCGCTCTAAAAGTGCAAAGTTTCAAAAAATTCAAGATTGTTGGGGGTGGAATAGATCTGGACAAGGAGAAGAAGTCTTGAGATAAATGTGAGAGACATATGCTTGTTTTGTTAAAATATTATATGTTTGCTGTTGAAGAAAAAAAATCCAGAATACTTAACATTGTTGTTTCAGTTAAATAAAACAATTTAAATGTCTGTCTGGTGATGTTCTCCTCCTAATACAGCATGGCAAGAAAATCCTCCAAATATTAATGATTAGCCTGTTGAATTGGAGATAGTTCACCTCCCAATAACTTCATAAAGATCTGCTTCAATTACCTTTGGTAAAGGAAATAACCAAATAATAATTCATTTTCTGATATAGCTATAAAACTAAGCTGAAAAGTTTTCAAAATAAATCACTGTTTAAAACTGTATAGTGTGTACCTTCTGAAAATGAAACCTACATCTATCTCTGAGTTGTGAAGAATAATATGTATTAAGGTTATAACAACCAACAAGAATGCACTTTTATGTAGAAAACCATGATTAAATCAAGTCTTTCTGACTAGTGATTTAAATCATGATTTAAATCAAATCCACCCTGCTACAAGAGACTTTCACTAGAGAGAGAACATTTTCAGAAACACCACACAATGGGAGTGGCACATTTTCAAATTCTCTACGAAAGTATGAAGCTGACAAACATGTTTATAAAAAAACCCTTCAGATAAACGACAGTAGATTTTCATAATGTGTAATTAAAAACAGTGAGAAATTCCTTTGTAACAAACATGCAGGCAACAGGTTAGCTTAAAATAGTAACGCATGAAGTATTTCAGAGGTATATTTTGACAAAACAATTGATATATACATACGAGATAAGTAAAATGCATCCAGAAAATAAATTATTTTTTAGTCTCTGCATTTGTAAAAAAGCTCTTACAGGTTAAAAAATTCTCATGTCAGTAATGTAGATCATTTTGTGTTCCAGTAAAGCAGAAGAGAGTTAAATGGTAACTTAGAGTATAACAGATGGTAAAAGTGGCGATTACTAAGGAAAGGATATTGAGCAAAATGCAACTAGCAATGAACACACTTTCTTATATTGTGTGAAGACCCTATTTTGCATTAGGAGGTTGGCTGAGGACTGTACTCAGAGCAGCTAGCCCAAGTGGCTGTCCACAGATACACTGCTATTTTGAGGGGGAATCTGAGCTCCTCTGCCTGACCCACTTTGTGAGTTGGGAGATGAAATGGCCTCTGCCCAGCTACTGAATCTGACCCTTTCCACACCCCTGTGTGAGCAGAGATCTAGGGGGCTAGTCCTCCTGAGGGTGTCTGAGCCCCTCTGCCTGCCCGCAACTGCATGTGAGTAGGGATATGTGGGAGGCTTATCCCTCTAGGAATCTCTATCCTCCCCACCCACCAATGTCAGACTGGATGTGAGGAAGCCCTGCCTCTCTGGGTGGAGTAAGCTTAGAACAAGCATGCTTGGAGAATGCATCAAGACAACACTGCTGAGACTGGGGTGAGGATATATGCATATCATAGGCTCCCTTGCACTGTGGAGGGAGATGGTAACACCCACTCAGATGAGTACATATGTCTCCAAGCCGTATTGCTGTAGGCTATATTCATCTCCATGGGGTATTCTCATTCAGCTAAGAACACCTAATTGAAATGAAAGGGCCACTTCACACCACTGAGCCTCCTATGCTGCAGCTGGATGTGTAGACCCCCCATGGCTGGGACTCAGACTATTCTTGGCTCCGTCACTGGCCTGCTGGGTGACTGTGGCCAAGTCAGGTCACCTCTGTGTCTCAGTTTCCCCTATAGTTTCATCTATACAAGGAGAAAAATAACTTTCCCTCGAGATCTACTGACAAAAAGCATTTGTAAGTGCGAGCACTTATTAACTCTCCACAGATGTGTCTGAACCGCACACCGATGTGATAATTACAGGTGCCTATCAACATTTTTCTTTTAAAAACGAAAAACAAAACAAAACCCTAGGAAAACAAACAGCAAAAAGCTTCATTAACTTAGAGTGAAGGTTGCCCAAACATAGCTTGTGCTCCTCCAGAGTGTCTAAGTCAGCAGAACTCAAACTTATGAGAAACAGGAAATACTGAGTTAAGGTAAATGTCCATGCAACTTTAACTCTGTCCCCCTGGAGCAGTCAATAACCACTGGGAATTATCTGCATTCGCTGTGTTAGATGTAGCTGACTAAATGGTTGAGGAATAAGCTGGAGTGCCTTTAAAGAGATGGGATTGCAATTTGTGGTGATCGGGGCTATGGCCCTCGGCGGGTATGTGAGCAAGCCCCTTCTCTGATCCCTGTGTGTAAGAGTCGAAAGGAAAAAGCGACACATATGCAGTAGCAAGAGGTTCATGGTCAACTGACAGAGGGGGGTACATATTGGGATCCTATAGGTTAGATATATGCACAATTATATTTACCAGAAGGCAGCATGTGAGGTATCTACTAAGAACCAGTCGCCAACTGGTTTCATAATCATTGCAAAAATATATGTGTATATGTAATGTTGAGGGAATTATGTATCTGTATTGAAAAATATGTTCTTAAGGTATGAGAGCTAAGGCACGTCCCCAGAAGGGGATAAACATGCTCCTGTTAGGTAGGAGGAAAGAGACACTTATCTCTCTCGGGCTGGTCATGTGCATATTGTGTGGTCTGTTTCACAATGCAGGCCTATCTTCAATTTGAGCTGAATTCACAAGCTCTTGATTAGCAATTGACAAGAAAGGGACACAAAAGGAAACCACAACCAGCAGGAGCGGCAGGCATCCTGTTTACGAGTAAGGACAACAGGGTTTTTCGTTTTTTGGGGAGGGGGGATGGAGGGGATAACTCTAGGTACAGGGAAACACCCTGGATGTTTGCACTGATAAGGCAAGCTAACAGCATGGCTTGTCTCATGAATGGCAATCACAGCCAAGGTTGGCTGTAATACACTGGAAGGATTTTGATAGAGCTTTTCACTGTAAGTCATGACAGTAACTTGTTAAGTCAGTCTAGGTTCTAGAGTGCGTGCTCTTATTTTATATGCAACTATTGTTTCCAATATTTCTACTTGCTACCACTTGAATCTCTAACTCCATTAAATACACTTTTACTTGTTTTCACTATAGACTTATCCAAGTGCTGTGTGTTAAGTGGAGCAGCAATCCGAGGTGTATCTGGTATCCTGGGATGCACTGAGTTTTTGGAAGCTGTGAATACTGCAAATGTCCAGTGTAAAATCCAGGTAGATGCTTGGAGATTGGAATGTGCCTGTGGCTAACCTACCGAGGGATAGTGGAGCCCGGGTGGGCTGAGAGTGGAGTGCTTGTGTTGCCTATGACCTGTGCCTATACTTGTGTTGCCAGTGGAGGCAGGGAGCTGACTCACAGCAGGCACACACAAGTATTCTGCGTGCTAAGGGCAGGTAGTAAGGAGGTGCTTCATAATCCTGGGAAGCAACACAACATGTAACTTGGGATATCCAGTACGCCCCATTTCAATGCTGCGCTGTGTAGGTTATGTCACTAGCAGAGCATGGGGAGGTCTTGCCGGGGGGACTGTTAGCAGTTAGGTGGGAGATAAGAGTAGTCTGAGAGTATAGTGATGGATAAAGCGAAGGCCAGTATTTGATGGTATTGTATCCACAAGGATGAAGGGGTTGGAGGACTTTAGTAGGCATGGTAGTCTTTCTCTGGAGTAGGCTAAGTGTGTGAGTGTAGAGCAGGCATAGGTAGCTCCTGTTCAGTACAGGGCAAAAGCAGAGTGCAAATACATGGGCTTACTGGGGCACCACTCGAAGAGGGCAGAGTTAAGGCTGAATGGGCATTTACTTTAACTAAATATTTCCTGGTTTTCATAAGTATGAGTTTTGCTGAAGTAGACATTCTGGAAGGGCATGAGCTATTGCCAGGTAACCTTAACAGAATTGATTTTTTTTTGCCATTTAATATCTTTTTTAAAAAAGAAGGAATTGCAGACACTCGTGTTCACAAACTGTTAGTGTTTAGCCTTTATAACCTTATCCAGCTTTCCCCCACACCCCCTACATTCAGGGCTAGACAAAGATGATCTAATATTTGCTTGCAATATTGTTGTGCTAACTTACGTATTTTTTGCTTGTCCATCCTTGAAACACATTTGTCCAACTAGAGCAGCAGATTGGTCACCCAGGCACTGAAAGGATAGACATGTTCTTAGCAAAGAAGTGCATATGAATCACTGTGTAACAATAACCTTAAATCAATTTCTTCTAGGCTTATAATCCCAATTTGGGTCAACTGTGTACACTGTAAATGAGAAGGTAGTGAACACAAGCACAGTCTTCATGTATATTCATTTCTTCTCCCCTCTATTGAAACCGCCAACAAAAAGTGCCAATTAGTACCACCAACTATGGTAACAATTAATTTAGCAAGTGTGATCAAGTGCAATATCTGCATGTGTTTGACATTACTGGTTAAATTCTCAGCTCACTTCAAGATTTGTACATGTAGATCTGGTTGTTATATGGCTAGCTTTCATTTTCTGATGAGTTATCCATTTATGATGTTTACTTACTGTGAAGTGTCCTAGATTTCCATGGGACTATTTGTGAGAGTTAAATTGCTAACATCCAGTAGAACCTCAGAGTTATGAATACCTCAGAGGATGGAGGTTTTATGTAACTCTGAAATGTTCATAACTCTGAACAAAACATTATGGATGTTCTTTCAAAAGTTTACAGCTGAACATTGACTTAATACAGCTTTGAAACTTTACTATGCAGAAGAAAAAATGCTGTTTCCACACCCCCCTTTTCCCTGTAGTTTATGTTAAACACAGTACTGTACTGTATTTGCTTTTTTTTTTTTTTTGGGGGGGGGGGGGGGGGGTCCTCTGCTGCTGCCTGGCTCCTCATTCTGGTTCCAAATGAGGTATATGGTTGACTGGTCAGTTTGTACTTCTGGTGTTTGTAACTCTGAGGTTTTACTGTACTTGTTTGCATGATCAGGCCTTAATTAATTAATTCACAATAGTCTTCATTATTAGTGTAAGTATACTGTACTTGCTTAAAATGAAAGAATTTTGTTGCAAATACAACTTGATTTTCTAAAATAATTAGTTCATTTTTAAGTTATATCCAGTGAGGGTCTCTCCAAGCAGACCCAAGTCCTCATGCCAGAATTCAAATTGGAAAAGAACTCACCCCAGAAATTGGCACACCTGTCAGGGCTCCAGATTTCTAACAAAAATACAGAACACAAACTTCAGTTTATTTCACACTGCTTGCTTATCAATTATTGTAACATTTAAGCAATGAAGAAAAGACACTCTTCAGTTTTTAATGGAGATATGCATGCTTCAGGTGTGGACAGAAACAGCTGCAGAAAAGAGTCCTCATACCAGAATTGGTAGTAAGTTAAAAAACAAGGCATGACACTGCCATTTCAAAAGACTGCCTTTAAAAATTAAAAAAATAAAATAAAGGTAGCATTTAAAAGAAAAACTGTGCTTTGATGAAAGTTTCAACAATACTGAAAAGTTGCCTCTTGGCACAAGCTAGATATTACGTTGAAGAAGCCAGCTTGTAACAACACTTTTCCTTTCATTCAGAGGCGCTCTGCAAAAACACTGTAAACTCTTTCTACTTGTTTGTGGTTTTACACTTTTTCATTTTACTGTCAATGCCATATGGTGTAACAACTGTCATTGATAAAAATGGCATTTATAGATCAACAGTCTGCTCACTAATTTTGAGATAAAGATCTTTCCACTCTCAGGAACCCATAAAGTGTCACTGAGAGCTACATTACTTGGTCCAGCTCCCATTGACTTCACTTTATATCACAATGACATCTCTTCAAAGCTACTCCAACTTATTCCTCCACCAGTCAGTCAGTTACATCTAACACAGTAACGCAGACAATTCCCATTGGCTATTGTCACCAGAAAATAGCCTTCTCAGGGAATCTCTATGCTACAGGCACTACAGGAGCAACCGTACCATTGTTGCATAGATATTTTCTACATCGACAGAAGGCATTTTGCCATCAACGTAGGTAATCCACCTCCCAAAGCAACATTCCCCATGTGGTAAGTGGCTTCCTCCCCTCGGTAGAATACAAGAGAGAAGCACTGAGGCAGAGTGATGCCTTCCAGTTAAGGGACAGAGCAAGTCCTAGTGCTTACAGGAGGAATTTGGATTGCTACAGCAGCTTGGTTTGAATTCTTGTGTGAATAGGACCTCTGCTTAATCCATCAAATCAGGTCTAAGATCAAAACAATAAACAGCAAGCTTTGTGCATTTACTCCATAACCTAAGATAGAGGAATCCAGAATCCAGTTTTAGTTGTTAGTTTTCCATATATAGTTAAAATAAAAAGCAATCTTGTTAAAATAAGAAACAGGCCATCATTTGTGGTAAGCTAGCATGTGGCCTGTAACAATAAGGTTCAACTAGGTACTATGATCAGGCACTTTCCTATTACAAGTGATTATGATAAGGTGATTTAACAAGTAAACAATAACAGAGGTCCTATTTTAAGACCACACAGTGTTTTCAATTTAAGCAGCACTTCACAAAAACAACCATGTGCTAGAAAGATTCTTCAGCTGTATTCCTGTAAATGACTACAGGCATCACCAGGAATCAGTCCTACTTAAAATATCCTTTGCTTTTATTAACTAGTAGGTTCTTTCTTGAACTGTGACCATACATTTTCACTGAGGTCATGCATAAGACATGACAGTGCATTTCCAATTAGGAAATCTCAGTAGTTTCCACAACTCCCATTTTAACTGATTGGGCTTTTTGATAGTTTTATATTAAAATTTATTTAAACAAACATTACAAACCTTATTTCTATTGCACTGAAATACCATGTGGTGTTCTCACTACAAAGCCAGATATACCTGTTTCTCTTTATAAATATGAAATTGTCAAGTCTTCGAAATTTATGCAAACATACTAGTAACACTGGCCACTTAACTGCAGTGTCTCAATCTGGAGACACTAGCTGGATCTGCTAGTTTTACAAATGTTATGTTGCATGCCTCTAAGTAAATGGAAATGCACTGTATCTGAACAGAATGGATGAGACAAACTTGTGGACAGCCTAATGAATGTCTCTACTCACCAGGCTAGGGCACATTTTCTACAGTCAGCAAGAAAATAATAATAGGTAGGAAGGAGAAAGACAAAAAAGTTCATAATCAGCTATCCTGTCTCATTTCCCATGAACGGCTTTATCTCTTCTTCCAGTTGCTGCATTGGTTCAAATCAGAATAAAATTCACTCTGATCTAATCCCTTCAAATTAGCAGACGCCAACTAAGATTCCTAGTGGCAAGCACATTTAGAACCTGGTTAAAAAAAAATAAAAAGCTACAAGTTGGGGTTTTAAAATTAAGAACAATCCAGAATCTTTTTCTGGAGTTAACATAAAAGGACACCCTTCAAAGCAAAATAAGTTCCCAACAGGTAAACAGGATCCTGTCCTGCAGCCTTCATCCAGCCATGAAGTTCTGTTACTAAGTTCTGCAAGTAAGCTCCACCTCTTTTCAACTGCATGAACACAGTTCAGCAATCACTCCTGGGGAAAGTCTCTGCAGGTGCTCTAAAAGCACTGTTTGATTACAAACACATCAACAATGCTCCAACATGTTTTTGTAACAAAGTTTACTGACACACAAGCAACTAGAATTTACTTCTCAAAAGGAGGAAATACAAGATGGAATCTGCATTTCTTCCAACTCCCACAGAACCCTACCAAATCCTTTACTCAATCCCACAGGGATGCAACGCTGAATGGGATTTACCCAGCATTCCTGCCACCAGGAAGACTCACATGGAAGCTGCCCATGGGAGTTTTGGCTGTTCTAGGAGCACTGGATGGTGGCCCCAGGAAGGGCACTATTTGAAGCTATCTTATTACTTTTAATCTGCTGCTTATAGATTAATTCACCAGCTACTTATCAAAATTGAATAAGTAGTTTGCAATAAGAATCAGATATTTACTAGTCTCAAAAAAAACTTTCCAACTGAGTTTTACTAGTTTGACACTCATCAAGAGTGCTGTTATCTAAAAAATTATCTTAATTTGACATACATACTATTAAAAAGGCTAACAGATGCTGACATTGGATTCATACCGTTTGATAAAGCAACCCACGTTGTTCTAGAAAACTAGAGAGCCATTAGCTTGCTTTTAATCAGCGTAAAGTCTTTCAATCCACCCCCCTGCCCCAATAGCTATATCTTTGAGAAAACATACCATCAAACCATAAATCTCAGAGGAACTCCGCACTTTTGGAAGTATTTCCATAGGAACATCAAAAAAACTGAAAAAAAAAAATATTTTGCATTTAGTTGTGCTAGGGAAATTATTTTTACATTTTCTACTTTGAGACAAATTAAACATAATATAAAGGGAACTTTGATGGCCATATCTTAGATCATGACCTAATGTCTTTCCTAGTAAGATGTGGGAGGGCATTGGAATGTTTGAGTTATGAAGCAATATTTGCTTTGTTGAGCATTTTATGGACAGATCCAACTCCATTTTTACATTTGGAAAATCATTCCTATTTTGAAATAAAATAAAGTGAATACATGCTGGGGTATCAAAGAATTTAAGTTTAAATTTAAAGCAATGAGACTACCATTTTGCACTATACTTGTGAAACGTGCTGAAGGAGTAGTTGGGTAACTCAGAAATTAAAGGGAAACTATTAATATTTAAATCACTTCTGTGTACCAGGTTTTCAATCTAGAAAGACACTAAGATCTAGCCTTTTCATTAATCCAAACAGTAGTTATGTAGCTATTTAGAGAGAATAAACCCTAATTGTTATATCCATAATAAATGCAACTAATCGCTCTTCTTGGTCACAAATGTGACCACACAAGCATTGATGGAAGATTCTTATTTTGAAAAGCACAATTAGTGTCTGTCTTTACACATCATTGACTAATACAGCTATTTCAACAGATTTAAATGAAAAATTAGACTTACTGGCAGAGTTCAGAATCCCACTCCAAGGAATGAATGTTGAACAACATCGTTCTACTGGCATTGGTGATATCTGTACAATGAACACCTCCATTCTTCCCACCCGTCAAACTCTGGAAAAAGCAACCAAGAAGATTAGTAAAAAATAATAATAAAAAAAATTAGTCAACAGTTCAAACAAAATAATCCAGTTACTAGCCCACCAGTAACTGGTGAAAGTTTGAAAAGCCACAGTTTAATAGTCGGTTTTATAGTTAGTAAGAATGAAATCAATAAAGTATTTTGAGAAATAGAAATAGTATTTTTGCACCCCTGAGATAAGTCGGAACTTTGATATCTTTGCACTACGTGAATGAAGAGCAAGACCAGGATATCCATAATGGACAGAATATATAATGCATGTACACAAAACGGGGATTATGAAAGGTTACCAGTCTACATTTTATGTAAGTTTTAATTTTTCCTCCACCCATATATTCTAAGGCAGCAGATTTTTTTTTTTTTTTTACACATTTCTTTTTTAAACGTTGCTTGTAGCCACACAAGTTCCACAACAGATATAGTTCTGGTTATGTGACCTCCAGAGAATTCCTTTATTAACAGTTGGTATAGAGGTGTACAATGAAAATCTGTTGTACAAAAAATTTTTTTTTAAAAAAGAACCCCCATACACATACCCATATAAGCCATGAATCAATAGTACCAAACATAGCTCGCCCATCACGAACAGCTTGCCTGATCTCTTCCACGTTGTCTAGGAGCCATCGAAGTTTCACTGCACTGAAATACGTGCTAAGCGGAAGGCCAGTCCTAGTCTGCAAGAGTGAGGGTCATTTAGGACATGCCATGAGCTAATCCCCTCCAGTGACTACTGTACTTGTCTATGAAGTTAGGGAAAGAGAAAGGAAACTCAAGATTCTTTATTTAAACCTTATTTTTCTTCTTTTTTAAAAAAGACCAAGCATTCCCAATACCGTAAAACCCTCACACATCAAAGCCAAAGACCAACATGCCTATGAACAACGATCACAACAACTGATCAGTTTACGGTTCAAAGACCTTTTACGTGGCAACAAGATAAAGGCATATGCAGACATCGTATGTGATAGCTGCTTGGGGTAAGACAGCAAACACTGATGTTGCAATGAGCAACCTGACACTGAAAGGATGAACTTTCAGTTACATTTGTAGCTTTATAGACAAGCAAGCTGATATTTCACTGACCCACTCCTACCAGGTGTGGCTATAGAACAAAGAAGCTGGACATCATTTGGCCAGCATACAGCCACCAGGTTAAAAGCTGAATGTGAAAGGAAGATGGACTCTAGTGAAACCGCTTCTCAACTCTCAAATTAGCCATATTAAATTAATGCTATAAATTAAAAGTTACTCTAATAATTATTTAATATGACAAACGTAGGATGGGAAAGTGGGTTGAAGACTATATTAACTCCTATTCTAGTGGAAGCCCTAACTCTGAGTTTAGTGGGTTTAAGACAGGCATCTGGTACATAATGCCCAAGACTTCAAATAGAAAATCATTAACACACACAGAGACTATTTGGAAATCTTAATTTAAAGCATTACTAACTGGATATTCTAGAAAAATCCCTTACCTTAAAAAAGGATTTATTTTCCCCTGGAATTATTTTAAGAAGTCTCTCAACTGTTGGCTGGGTTCTCAGGTCAAGCCACACTACAAACCAAAATAGATCACACACACAAAACATTTACAATAATTCAACCACCATTTGCTATTTGTCATAGCCAAAGAACAGCAGAACTGTATAGCTTCTACTAAAAATTGCTGAAGTCCTTAATGTCAGGAAACTCACACTAAAATATTTTTAGTAAAGAAAAAATTGATAGGAAAGAAATATTCTTATGTATATTTCTGTATCATTGTAAAAAGGTAGAAGGGACAGGTAACCTCATTCTATTTGCAAGGCTAAGTGGTCTGTAACATCACAATATGACTTTCTACAAAGAGAGGCTACAAAGGATATACTTTGTGTTTCTCAGTCTATTCATGAACAATACAGAGGTCAAACAAGTGAGTGAGTAACCATACTTAATAGTTTGCCAGAAGACCAAGGCCACTCAACTAGAAAGCTTAAAGTACATACAGTAATAGGTTTATTTACTATTTCTCTGTGAATACTCAACTACAGTAGTAAACAGTGTTAAAGAATTACTGATGCTCAGTTTTACCTAAGTCTTAAACGTCACACACTTGAACATTAAACACAAAAAGCTACTTGGAAGGAAGAACTTAAATCCCCTCTCTCAAAGCAATGCCAAGTTCAGGTTTCTGAAAGTTCTTAGGACCCTTCAATTCTACAGCAAAAGACAAGGCAGAACTTCAGACCTCTGACAAGCACAAGCTGTCAACATTCTATTTTGCTGAAGCCTGATTAAAAGATTTATTAAGCTAAACTGTGATGTGATAGAATATTTAACTAGGATATTTTTCTGTGTAACTGCAGCATCAGTGGTTGCAAACACGCAATTTTTGGGAAAGGCCACCAAAAGTTGTCATTATTATTTGCAGGTTCTAACAAGATTCATATAGGATTTCTAAGAATCTGCAAGTAAAACTGCAGCAAGGCTGTATTGAAAGGAAGAGTATATAAACTTTAAGAAGCCATATACACCAGGCAGGCACTGTGATACGTACCAATAGCATCATATAGAGGTTCTCCAGTTGTCTTGTCCCAAACCACAGTTGTCTCTCTCTGATTGCTGACTCCAATAGCTGGAAAACAAACAAAGGAAGGGGGGAAAAGTACACATTAGAGATTTTTAGAGGGCAGGCAAGGAAGAAAAGGAAGTGAAAGGAAAATAAAAACCTTTTGGCTTATGCCTTTTACATTCTTGGTATACCACTTTTCTCTCATTTCAAAAAACTGAACTCTGCTCTACATCTCTTATTCTTCTGTTTAACTTTCACAAACAGACATGAACAAAGAAACTGAAGTTTTGTAACAGCAGGCACTGCAGTATAATGTGACCAGTATTTCATCCATTAGCTGCATAACCTCTTTGCAATCCCCGGGGAGAGAATTTTATTTGGTCTATTTGGCAAAACAATGCACGGCTAGTAAGTGTCAGCAATATCTTATTTCCCCAACATGCAGAGCTTTTTTTGACCTGGGGCTAAATCCTACTTCCTTTCTAATCACTGGCTTCATTACTGGATGATCTGACCTTCCCCAGTCCCCAAAGCATGTTCTCAAAAGCAACTAGTTACACATAAGAAACTGCAACAATACCTTTTATGTTGGTGATGTCTACGTTTAGCTGGTTCAATTTCTCACATGTTTTCTCCACACATTCATAAACAGATTGCAAGATTTCCTTTGGATCTTGCTCCACCCATCTTTAACAAATATTAGACAGCAATCAAAAAAGAACCAAAACATGAGGCAGATGTTACATTTATGGAGAGCTGTATACGAATTCTAAGAGCAGGCCATAAAGTCACATGTTCACAATATTAAAGAGTATCAAAAAGTTAACTCAGCTAGTTTTTCCCTCTAGTCAACTTGCTTTGATTCCATGTCAGAATGACCAACCTAATTCTGTATCATATAGAAAGTGTTTGTTTAATCAAGCAAAAGAATAGTTTGAATAGTCAGTCTGCATTTTTAGAGAAAAAGTCAATGTGGTATTTCAAAATCTTCTATAGATACATGTATACTGCCTCAGTACAGAGGGGGAAGAGTCTAGGGATAACACTTGGTGAACAGTGTACAGCAAATTTAGAGCTACAGAATAAGTTGTGCAGACTCCATAGGTGAAGCTGGAGAATGTAAAGATAAGCAAGTCAGTCAAGAGAATAAATAGTTTCACCATTTTAAGAAAGCCTGGACAGTGGAAGAAAGAATGGGTGAGTGACTATTGCGAGGGTTGAACTTTCATAAACATTTTTAGGAATTAATAAGATTTCCATTAGGCCATACAAAGGAGGGAGTTTTTTGTCTTGTTTTTAAAAAAAGGATCTATTTAATTATTCTTTCCGACCACTCTAAAACATTAGCAACTGATTCCATATTCTTAACAGACTTCAAGTGTAATTATGCATACATAGATCCTATTAAATAGGCTTTTGCCACATTGAAAGGTAGACAGAAATGGAACAGAAGATATACAGAGATCATACCCTTCTTTAGGGAATTTCTGTTTTATTTCTACTTGATGGTGACTCAGGAGCTCTGCTGTTTTCGCATTAAAAACCTGCAAATAACAAGGATACAGATTAAATAAATTTATGCCTACAGGATTAAATAAACCATATATGAGGAGACAATAACAAAGTGAAGGTATGTTACATTTCCATTGAGCATAGGGTTGCCAACTTTCTAATCACACTAATCCGAACACCCTTGCCCTGCCCCTTCTTCAAGGCCTTGCCCCCTGCTCACTCCATCCCCCCCTCCCTCCGTTGCTCACTCTCCCCCCTCTCACTGGGCTTGGGCAGGGGCTTGGTGTGTGGGAGGAGGTGAGGGCTCTGGTTGGAGGTGCGGACTCTGGGGTTGGGCCAGAAATGAGGGATTCAGGGTGTGGGAGAGGGCTCTGCGCTAGGGCCGAGGGGTTTGGAGTGCAGGAGGGGGCTCAGGGCTGAGGCAGGGGGTTGAGGTGCAGGCTCCAGCCGGGAGTGTGGGCTTTGGGATGGGGCTGGGGAACAGGGGCTTGGGGTGCAGGAAGGGGCGCAGGCTCCTGGAGGGACTTCGGGTGCAGGAGGAGGTTCCAACCTGGGGCAATGGGGTGGGGTGCAGTAAGGGCTATGGCTGGGGGTGTGGGCTCTGGGGTGGGGAGGAGTGGTTTGGGGTGCAGAAGGGGGCGCAGGGAAGGGGGTTGCAGTGTGGGAGGAGGTGCAGGCTCCAGATGGGCAGTGCTTACCTCAGGCAGATCCTGGAAGCAGCCAGCATGTCCAACTCCTAGACAAAGGAGCTAGACAGCTCTACACACTGCCTGCACGTGCCACCCCTGCAGCTCCATTGGCTCTGTTTCTCAGGCAATGGGAGCTGGGGAGCCAGTGGTCGTAGCGGGGGCAGTGGGCGGAGCCCCCATGGCTGCCCTTGCATCTAGGGGCCGGACATGCTGGGTGCTTCCAGGAGCCATGAAGAGCTAGGGCTGGCAGGGAGCCTGGCTTAGCCCCGCTGCATCGCCGACTGGACTTTTAATGGTGCTGACCCGAGCACCATTTTTGACCAGCTGTTCTGGTTGAAAACCGGACAACTGGCAACCCTAGTTGAGCAACCTAGGCCTGTGTGTAAAATTACACCAAGTGACGTTAGACGTTATAGCTACTTTCTTTATCCCCACCCATGCTTCCAAATCAAGTAGCTAGTCATGAAAGTGGTAAAGTGATTTCATTTCTGTACTGTCCAAAGTGATAAAATTGAGCTCAGAGACTCACTTCTGCTATGATGCCAGAGAACACTGCCAGTTGTTAACTTGGCCCTTGCCTAGTAGTTATGTGGCATGCACAGCTAGATTACACAAAATATACTATGGTTATCTCATCCTTCCTCTTCCCTCTATCTACCCATCTTCTGTTTCATCTACCTGTTCAGTCTTAGCATTAAGCTACACTAAACTCTTCAGGACAGGAAGGGACTGTCTATACTACATATTTGTACAGTGCCTGGCATCAGGACTTCTAGGTGCTATGACAATATAAATAATTTCTTCCTCAGTGCACCAATCCAGCTTCCATTAATGATTACAAGGGCTTGTGTGTGCACATCAAGAGGAAAGAGATACAAAGAATTAAAAAAAAAAAAAAAAAAAAGTCAAAAGCCGAGTAACAAAACCATTTGCTAAGCATTTATTTCACTAAGATCAGACTACACCTTTTGGCACATTAGCAACATTCATACACACTCCCAAATGGAGGACAGCGTATTCCTGTCTTTCTTTCAGCTAAGAAGGATGCTGGCACAAATGGGTGAAGTCACTCAGACAGCTTAATGGCAGCACGTTAAGCCAGGCAAAGCTTTCACTCCCAAGCCAACGAGGGCTGAAGTAGTTGGAATGCAGCACGCTCATCCCCATTTTGCCAGCCTTGGTGTTGGTTCTCACATAACTATTTACCACCACTAGGACACTGTCATCAACTGGGACAAATTCTCAATAGAAATCCTCCACCACTGCAATCAAATATCATCCCTACAGAGAACACCTGCCAGAATATTGACAGAGCACAACTGGGTAAGTGTTCCCTCTGGTCTCCTTAGATGCATTCAGTCTACTTCTAGCACCATCTCAACCAAAGCAGCAGACACTGTCTCTACCAGAGACAGAGAGATCAAAAACCTGAAAACAAATGAAAACAATCCATTCCTATACAGCAATCCTAACCTCCTAACACATGGAGCAAAACCAAAACATGCTTTAGACACCAGACCAATACTTAACAAAACAGAAAAAACAAGCCAGACTGACAAAATCTGTTCCGATATCAGTGATGCAGGTAAGCCAAAAATAAAACCAGGTTTTTGAGACAGTTCCTGTCCCTTCCCCCAATCAGTTTTCCTCCCCCACTGATTCAGATGATCTCAGGCAAGAGCAATCAAAAGTTCATTTTGGCCTGAATGTGCACTTAGCAGCCACATAAAACTTCTTACTACTTGACCTCTGCAGTCATTTTGCAATACACAGACTTATGTGCTCATTCAATTCCCAGCACACACACACACACACTGAATTCCATTACAAAGTTTAGTCACCAAAGGTATAAATAAGAATGGAGAAGCAGCATAAACTAATGTGCCAAGAGTAAGTCAAAATCTTTCTATACAGAAGTGGAAGGTAACAGTGTGAGAGAACAAACTGGTCAGTTGTTTTAGTGCTGTATTTGTCATTTTGCTTACAGAGACTATGGACTTAGTACCTGTGACACTGTTTTGCTTCTCTTGATGCAATACATGGCATTAAATTATGGCAGGGACTAACATGAGGTTAGATTGGATATTAGGAAGGGGAGGTTTAGATTGGATATTAGGAAAAACTTTTTCACTAAGAGGGTGGTGAAACACTGGAATGCGTTACCTAGGGAGGTGGTAGAATCTCCTTCCTTAGAGGTTTTTAAGGTCAGGCTTGACAAAGCCCTGGCTGGGATGATTTAACTGGGAATTGGTCCTGCTTCGAGCAGGGGGTTGGACTAGATGACCTTCTGGGGTCCCTTCCAACCCTTATATTCTATGATTCTATGATATAAGGAAATAGCTTTGGAGCCATTTGCAATGTAATAGGTTACTGTACAGCATGACATTAACATACACCTCTTGCAATGGTATATCGAAAAACAAAACAAAAACAAAGTCAAACATTGACACAATATATCCTGGGGCAAGACAGTTGCCAGCAAAACTTGAGCACTCCTCGGGGCTGCTTTGAGTTATAGCAGTCAGCCCAATGCTGCCAGTGACCATTGTGGCATGCATTACAGCTCTGCCTTCCTGACAGATGCCCTGCACTGGGATTCATGAGAGACCAGCTATTATAACAGCCCAACAGAATGTCTGTGGTGAGGAAATTCTCCCCAACCCCTTGAGGGATTACTTACAGCCTCTACATGTAATTTCAGCTGGACAACAGGATAGAATAGTGTTGCCCAAAAAAAGAGACCAGATTTGGCTCAAGCTAACTGCTTCAGCCAGGAATAACTGACATGCAAACTAAGATTCAGTCACTTTGAACCTTTGGGTGACTAGGTCATAGATAAGATCAAACGGGCATTTAAAATGCTAGGTTTTGAGATAAAGTTGAGCCCCAGAGTTTGGAAAGTCAGGGGTTAGATTGTACAGGGGACAGTAACCACCATATGCAGAAAGACTGCTGAATGCCCATCCTGCTATGGAACACCTGATAAAACACTAAATTATTGAAATGCCAATGTAACATCTGCCTGGTGAGTTCTGTAACATCTTTCAAACCAGGATTACAGACTATAACCGAGGAAGGAATTGGAGACAAGAGGAGGGATGTGACACAGGCTGAGCATTGGAAGGATGAGAGGGTGAATATTCCTTGCAGTGAATAAAGTTTACCAGTTTCTTGAATCTACCTATCACAGGGCGAGGGAAATCCTTCCCTGAGGAAGTTTCAGTGCAAAAAAATGCTAGTTTGATGATCCCTTGGTGACCTCTAAGATACTTTATATACCTCCATGCTCTCTTGTATAGCATTGTCTATATGTAGTTTCTACTTTACTAACACTGAGATTTAATCACAAAAGTCTGGTTAAAGGTGTTGCAAAGCTCTCGTCATGTACAGGTAGTCTTACAACAAATTATTGAAAAATTAAACCAGCATTCTCCCTTAAACAATTTTATTGCATACATCTTTAATTGTATAGCTGTACAGTCAATGCTGCAACAAATTTAATGAAGTCATATTTACAAAAAAAAATCTCTAAGGTGTGTCAAGCTATATGTTAGATATGCCATTTCTTTTGTTTTAATGTGATTCTCCCTGTTATTCTGAAAAAGTTTTGTTTTTAAGTTAAACCAGTTTTGTTGGTTTAAGGTGTGCCTTTTGCCGTTTGGCAAAGAAAACAAAACCCTCATAAAAACTTAATCATCAGCCTCTAAAAAGAGGTAGAAAAGGGTGTTTGAAGTCAAACAGCTAGGATTTTTGGTAAAAAGGGGAGGGACTAAAAAGTCCTCCCCCATAAACTATTGCTTCCAGGGCTGCCACTTGACAGACACAAAGAAAGTACCTACTGACAAAGAATGAAATAAGTTTAAGGGACAAAAGGTGACAGTCTGCAGTTGTGCTAAATTTTACTTTATTTTTCCTTTTCATAGAATCATAGAATATCAGGGTTGGAAGGGACCTCAGAAGGTCTTCTAGTCCAACCACTTGCTCAAAGCAGGACCAATCCCCAACTAAATCATCCCAGCCAGGACTTCGTTAAGCTTGACCTTAAAAACCTCTAAAAAAAGAGATTCCACCACCTCCCTAGGTAACTCAGTCCAGTGCTTCCCCACCCTCCTAGTGAAAAAGTTTTTCCTAATATCCAACCTAAACCTCCCCCACTGCAACTTGAGACCATTACTCCTCGTTCTGTCATCTGCTACCACTGAGAACAGTCTAGATCCATCCTCTTTTGAACCCCCTTTCAGGTAGTTGAAAGCAGCTATCAAATCCCCCTCATTCTTCTCTTCTGCAGACTAAACAATCCCAGTTCCCTCAGCCTCTCCTCATAAGTCATGCGTTCCAGTCCCCTAATCATTTTTGTTGCCCTCCGCTGGACTCTTTCCAATTTTTCCACATCCTTCTTGCAGCGTGGGGCCCAAAACTGGACACAGGACTCCAGGTGAGGCCTCACCAGTGCCAAATAGAGGGGAATGATCACGTCTCCCGATCTGCTGGCAATGCCCCTACTTATACAGCCCAAAATGCCACTGGCCTTCTTGGCAACAAGGGCACGCTGTTGACTCATATCCAGCTTCTCGTCCACTGTAATCCCTAGGTCATTTTCTGCAGAACTGCTGCCGAGCCATTCAGTCCCTCGTCTGTAGCGGTGCATGGGATTCTTCCGTCCTAAGTGCAGGACTCTGCACTTGTCCTTGTTGAACCTCATCAGACTTCTTTTGGCCCAATCCTCTAATTGGTCTAGGGCCCTCTGTATCCTATCCCTACCCTCCAGCGTATTTACCTCTCCTCCCAGTTTAGTGTCATCTGCAAACTTGCTGAGGGTGCAATCCGCACCATCCTCCAGATCATTAATGAAGATATTGAACAAAACCGGCCCGAGGAATGACCCTAGTGGCACTCCACTTGATACCGGCTGCCAACTAGACATGGAGCCATTGATCATTACCCGTTGAGCCCGACAATCTAGCCAACTTTCTATCCACCTTATAGTCCATTCATCCAGCCCAAACTACTTTAACTTGCTGGAAAGAATACTGTGGGAGACTGCATCAAAAGCTTTGCTAAAGTAATTGTCAAGACGTATCACAAGGTACCATCTTAATCCATCTAGGAGCATTTGTTTTGTCTACCTGATTTTTCCACCCATGCTTTGAATATCTTTTAGTGGTATCCAGAAGGTTTAAATGCAATGTAGGATTCACACACATTCTTCTCACTCACCCAAGGAAGAGAATCGCACAGCATTTTAACTCCATGACCATATCTTTACTCCTGACAATAGCAAATATCACTTGGAAGTTGCCTAAAATCACGTGGCCAGAGTAATAGTCACACCGCTGCTACAAGTGCTTCTGTATTAATAACAGGCATAAGCAAGGTAAGTAACTGTTGCCTCCTACTGAGATGGATGATGCAGACATAAAAAGAAAGAAAAACAGTTGGAAATGATAGGGAAAGACATACATGAAGATGAAAACAAGCATAGAAGCCAAGACATTAAGGTGGACAGGTAAGAAGAGGCTAGATCTAGTGAAAAAACAGACTAACAGAACACTAGATTTGTAACAGTAGACTGGTACATGAAACATTTCCCTTGTAAAATGGTATGTTCCCTCAGCAAGTCTCCCCCCCCATTTAGTGTTATTTCTATTTTATGCATATACATTTTTTCTGAGCGAATGGTGCAGTAGAGCGTAGGTCCCTCTATACTATTTTCACAATGTTGGTGTTTATGAGTTAACTCTCTGCTCACTGAGGTAAAAGGAGATCTCTTGACATTCAAGTTCATGGCACTTTTTATTTTTGTAATATTTCAATCACACCGCTATTTTAAGAAAACAGCTACATTTTGCAATTTTTTAAATTAAAAAAGAATTAGGAGTGGTTGCAGGTTCTACACCTGCACCTATATATTCCTGGAAATTTACAATCACACTTCTGTTTTTTAAAAATATTTTCCTCTTCTTTGTGTGTTTATAATACAACCAGAAGAGGAAACTAATCTCACAAGAGTGAATCATAGTCTGACTATATACAAAATGCTGTCAAAAGGAGACATTTAAAAACAAAACAAAACAGACTTTCTCCAATCCTTATAAAGTAACCTGACATGTTACATGTAACTAAAGTTGATTTAAAAAAAAAAAGGGAATTTTGAAGTTGGGTAAGTCTCTTAAGTCTACTCAAAAGGAGCTTTTGCCAAATAAACTTACTGGTACAAATAAAGCAGATTAACACTTGAAATTAGGTTAAGTTTTTCCATATTTTCATTTTCCTAGTTGGCACTTGCAAGGTAGCTGCATGTATTGCCACCACAAGGGACAATCCTCAGCTGCAAGTCTAGAATTCCTTTCCACGCCCAGATTTTATTTTGTCATTTGACAATTCTATAAGGAAAAGGGCAAGGGGAAATAAATTTTCACATCGGTCAAGATGACACTCAATTCCAGACTAGTCTCCCTCTTCAGCAACTCATCTGCATGGAATAGATTCAATTTAGGAATTTTTTTTTGGCAACCTGCAAGAACAAGACTATTCCCCCCCCCCAGCCTCCCCCCCAGTTTGTATACTCTGTGCATTTTGGCAGCACCTTGTATATAGTAAGTTTCAGTCTCTCTGTATGATTAGTTCCCACATTTTTTTTAGCCTACTATGATCTCTAATAGTCCAACACTCTTCCACTCTGTTGATCAGAAACAAAACATTTATAGGCAATTTACATAATTTAAAACTCATTCCTACTCACAAAAATATGCTGAGTCCACAATTTTTGCATAAGATCACCAATGAGATTCAAGGGAAGCTCTGCATGCAGTGTGATGGTGGGAAGGTTGAATGAAGGTTTATATTATAACAGCACCCAAATGGCTGGGGCCTCCATTTTGCAATTAAACTAGGTTATTATTAAATAATCCATTAATTTATTTTTACAATTCCCTTCTCTACAATTTAGTTTCACTTTCTGCTCTGGGAAACAAGCTGATAATTAATTCTGGGAAATAAGCTGACAACCAATTCGGAAATCACCCTCACAAATAACTCACAATTTGGCTTTTTAAATAAAATAAAAGAACCATTACTGGCCTTAAGCTTTGTGCACTAGCTTTCAGAGCAAATATATTTTAGTTAAGCTGTGGTGCATACCAGGGCCTTTAATTATCTTTATCATTTGAGGACCTATCGAAGACCTGTAGACTAAAGACTTACACATATGCTTAAACTTTATGCACTGTGAAAAGTCCATTTAAGTCACTAGAACTTCTCAGTGTGTAAAGCTAAGTGTGTGCTAAGTCTTCGCAGAATTAGGGCCTACCCATGGCATTAGCAGGAGTCATTATTCATACAGGCAGAAACAGGCTTCAGAGTGGCAGTGCAGTTGAGTCACTGTGCTATTTTACACTACACATCATCAGTAACTTTAAGGCAAGCCATGGGACCGGATTCTGTGCGGACACCTGGTTTACACATTTCCAAATCAGAAAAGTAACATTTCGTAGGTGTCAGCAACAACACAAGGTGCAATGTAGCCACAGAGAATCAGAGCCATGGGGAGAATCCTGCAGCCTCTGAACTCAGTGGCGAAACACCTAGTGGATTCAACGGTGCGCAGCACACTAAGCCCAGGTCCATGGGACCCAGAGCTGACGTGGTCTCACACGGCTAAAAACTGCTGTGTAGCCTTCAGGCTCAGTCTGGAGTCCAGACACTGAGACACCTCAAAAAGGGAGGGTCTCAGAGTACAGGCTCCAGTCCAAGCCTGAATGTCTACACTGCAATGTTTAGCCCCGAAGCCTACGAGTTTAAGTCAATTGACCCAAGCGCTATGGTGGCGTACCAGTGTTTCCAAACCCACGCTTGATCACCCACACAACATTGTGAACCTAGGTCTACAATTGCTAGACCCAGTTCTCACAGTGCTGCTAACTCGGCCATAGGGCACTACGCAGACCTTTCAGAGTAGCAGCCGTGTAAGTCTGTATCCGCGAAAAAGAAAAGGACTTGTGGCACCTTAGTCCTCCTTTTCTTTTTACGTAGACCTTGTAACGCCGGCCTGCAAAGTGACAGGGCTTGGACCCAATTCACAAGGGGACTCAGGCTCTGACCCACCCCTAAGCAGGCACCTGGGACTGCAGGTCCGAGTCAGAGTGATTTACGTGCAGATGGCAGGGAGGGCTTGCTGGTCTCTCCAAGGGAGGTCAAACCGGAGTCTGAGCCAGGGCTCCGTGTGGACATACCCAACGAGGCCCGGCTATCACGCCGCCTACCAGAGGTGCTGCTGGCCAGCTCCCCATGCCCACAGGCGGGGCGGTGGGTCTCCGAGCAGAGACCGGTGGGTCTCCCTGGGGGCGGCCCCCGCCACGGGGCCAGAGGCGCACTGGACGCCGCAGCAGCAGCAGCCGCGGGCAGAGCCAGGGGGCACCGGCCGGCCGCGGGCGGCCTCCCGTGCCAGGGCACCGCGCCGCCCCAGCAGCAGGCGGAGCCCGCGTGGGGCGGGTCACTCACCAGGAAGCGCGTGGAGCTGGTGCCCTGGTCGATCGAACCCACCAGCGGCCCCAGCACCACTCGGTGCGACGCAGCCATGGGAGCCGCTCGCGAGCCGCGCGTCTCCTAGGCGACCCTGGCCGCGGGCTGGAGGGCAGAACGCTCCCCGGCGTCTCCAGCGCCCTCTCTGCCTGCGTACGTAACCGGCGCGTGGCTCCACTCTCGGCTCCGGGGGCGGGGAGAGGGAAGGGGGCGCCGGCCGACACGCTGCGCCGCCCCGGCCAATCAGCGCGCGGGGCGCGGAGCGGGGGCGAGGCGCGGGCAACGGGGCAACGTTCGAGGCTGAGCCCGCGGCTGGAGGCGGTCACGTGTCGCAGGCGGGGCGCTGACTCTGCGAGCGGGTTGTCCGGGGGCTCTTGGTGGCAGGGCCCAGACGCGGGGAGTCAAATCGTGAACCCCGAGGGAAGGGAGAGGGCAAATGCAGGGAGTGTGCTATATTTCTCTCACTCCCTCAGCCGCTGCCCATTTCTCTCTCTGGCAAAGCAGCCCTCAGCCCCTTTTCTTCAACGAGCTGGGCTAACCTGGTTAGGTCTCACTCCAAGAAGACTTTCAAACAAACATGCTCCCAGAGAAAGTTTTTCTCCCTTGCTGGTTGTGCTGAAGGAAGCTGATGCCATCCTTGCTCCCTCTTAATTTACTTTTCATGTGGATTCAGGTAGAAATGAAAGGTACAAATGAACTTCCCTTGTCTCCGGCACTGCCTTGCTTGATTTACAATGGAAACGTTCTAGAATAAACTTATCAGCTACCTTCACAATGTGTTAAGACCATATTACCAGCATACCTACAAAACTCTTCGTACACAACCCATTCACGTATCACACAATGATTTCCATGACGGGTGTCTCACCGGTTTTTATATGATATGATACCTTATATGATGCTGTTTGGCTAAATATTGTGACAACAGTTTGTTGGATGTGCCATTTGCCAGTTGGCATAAAGGGGCTCTTAGGGTCACGGGGATCAAGAACGTTTACTCCTGATGCTTTTAGAATTTGATATTTCAGATGAATAATTTGTATGGAGCTTTGAAATTCTCTAGCGCAGCTGTATTTGGCAGAGGGGATATGTAATGTTATGTTCTCAGCATACACACAGAGAAGTTAGAGTATTTTATGTTTTTCTGGAAGGTTGCCACATAACATTACTTTCTTAGAATCCAGAACTCTAGCACACAAGAACCAAAACCAGAGAGAGAGAGAGACAAAGCAGGCAGAAAGGCACTGCAGTTTGGACTACAGGGCGGTGAATTGCAGTGCACACCAGAGTTCTGCACTGTAACTGCCCTGTGCGCATGGTGTTAACATGAACTAAAACTAAAGGTACCTAGCTTGTGTTAACAAACTCCTGTTTGAAGAGGACTGTGTTAATACGAACTAAGTATCTTTTAGTTTGGGCCAGCAGCACCTACATGGAGGAAATACACCGCAACGCTTTGGTACACTCTGCAGTTCACACCCCCGTAATCTGCACTGCAGCATGGTGTAAACATAGGTTCTGTTCCCTGCATCAGAGCTAGATCTCTGTTTTAGCCATGTTGAGTTTGAGCTAATAGCTGGACATCCATGAGGAGAGTCAGGAAGAGAGGCCATGTTTTTGGTTTGGACAAAAGGAGACAACATCTTCCCATAACGGAAGAGACAGGAAAGTTTGTTTTTGTGTGGGATGGAAGTAAATTTGAGTCTAAAATGAAGAAAGTCTCTTTTAGTGATCCTTACAAAGGAGAGTTGAGATGCAGGGCAGCATGGCAATAAGAATGTTAAAGTGAGAATAAGTAACATTGAATCATATCTGCTTGCAGCCATTAGAAAAATGTATCACAGTTTGCTGATGTGGACACAGTAATTTGAGATATTTCTGAATATTTTTCTACTTGAATGTGTTGAATCTTGCCATTTACAAAGCTTACGGTTACTGCTCCACCCTCTATATGAAATGATGCCAATAATATGATTTGTAATCATTCCAGCTAAGTTAGTGGTATTTACACAAAACAGGAACTTGAAAGATTGCTGCCAGGCTTAAGTAACTCCTAAGTTCACCTAAACTTTATTAAAGGGGCAGTATCAGTCTATGTGTAACATTTAGGTATTTGTAAATGTGCATATGCCTAATATTTTCTTTTGTAAAAGAAAAAATGTGTACAAATCCAATTCCAATATGAATGTAATTATTTTAAATAAATTGGCTTTGAATTTCAGTGAAAACATTTATTTTTTCCTAAGTTTACTAGAGGTACATTAGTGCAATACAGCCTCCCACCCCAACCCCAACAAAGCAAAAACAAAACAAAACACCCACCCAAACAACCCAAACAACCCCACCACTTTGCTATATGTGGTGAGGGTTTCCAGTTTGGTATATCCTTGGAGGCATGGGAAGATCCACATGAGGGTGATCAGGTGTATCTGTGAATGCACTACAGAGCTATTCGAGGGAGAAAATAAGGAATGGGATGACAGGGGCAAGGAGGTAAGGACAGCAAGACAATGGGAAGAGGAATAAAACAAGAGGGAGGAGAGGAGACGAGAGACAAAAGGAGAAAACTGGAGGAGAAAAACAGGAAGAAAACATAAGACAAGAAGTAGATAAAGAACAGAAAATTCATCCTTACAGAAAGAGTGTCTTACAGAATCAGGTGCACAGCAGAGATGCTGGTGTACAGAAAGCGCACCCCTGACTTAGTGGAGGCAATCATTGGCAGCTTGCTGTCCTTGGGCCCCATCATCTATGAGACTGCACCACTCCAAGCTGTAATTGAAGACCACCAGAAAATCCTGAGATTTAACCTGGTTGGGAAGTGGAGTGAGTCCTTCGTGCTTGGCATCCCCTGGCTCTACGTTCACAATTTGGGCATTTCCTGGAGAACATGAGAAGTGCAATTTGAGTCTGATTATTGTCAGCATCAGTGCCTAGTCCAACCTGATGTCGAGGATGTTAGATGCAATCTGGGCAAGGCCACCATTTTCTGCAAATGGCAGGCTCCAAGTGAAGATCACTCACCAATCCCCACAAAATATAAGGACTTTGTGGTTGTATTCAATAAAAGAAATGCCAGTGCTCTGCCCCCACACAGGCCCTACAACTGTCCCAGAATTCTCCTTGATGAAAATCTAGTGAAGAATTTTATCCACCCTTCGATGTCCCTTGCTGAGGCCCCAATCCTGTTTGTCAAAAACAAGGATGGCACTTTGTGCCTCTGCATAAACTATCATGTGCTGAACAGTATCACTATCAAGAGTAAATATGCCTTTCCATTGATCAATGAACTACTGAATTGGGTGGGTCAATTAAATCCGGAACACAGGTTGAAAACCACTGTTCTAGAACAATATCTCTGCTGCTTCATCAACTATCATCAAGATGACTGGCTCTGACTTTTGCCTTTCACCAGTTTTGCTTACAATAACTGATCACAGATCAATCTGCCACAGTCCTTTCTATGCCAGTTATTGCTTCTACCCCTCATTTCATACATCTGTATTGCTGTTCTCCCATGTCCATGTGGCCTCTGATTTGATTCAACATGTCCACTGCAATCAAGAGGAATTAAAATCACACCTAAACTCTGCCAAGGAGGATTACAAACAATACGCTGACCATCAACAGGACCATCCTCCCATGGCTGTCAGAGACAGGGTATAGCTCTCAACTCAACACTTGTATACCTCTTGACCCTCAAGGAAATTACACATCCCTAAGGGATCATTCAACAGATTAACCTGGTGGACCTTCAAGTCATCCCTGAACAAGAGCCTTTTTAAATCACATGCACTGATGAGTCATTCCTGTGCTAGGCTCCAGCCAGTCCACAAGCCAGGAGCTGGTTTGATGACCCTCCGGGCAGGTATATAAGTTTCACAGGAGAAACAGCAGCTCAGTCTGCTGAGTGTCACTCCATGGCTTGGAATTCTCCCCTGCCTGATAAGAGAATCACAAGTCTTAGTCTGCTCTGGACTTGCTCTTGCTCCAGCCACATTCCTAGTCCTGCTCCAGCCTTGCTTCAATCCTGCTGTGGACTCCTGACTCCAGCTCTGACCCCCTGGTTTTGACCATTAGGCCCAACTGCCACAGATCCGGCCACTAGGCCCCACATCCTCATCACAGTTTCTGACAGTGGCTTATACATCTGCTCTGAGAGTCACCAGACTACCTCCTGGTTTGTGGTTTGGTTGGAGCCTAGCACAAGAATAACTATTCAATGCATGTGGCTTAATCAGGTTCTAGTACAGGGATGACCCGTCACCTTATAGTTAATGGGTTATAGATTGTTGTAATGAGCCATAAATCCGGTGTCTTTATTAAGTTCATGATTTTTAGTGTAAGCAGAGTCTGAATGAATTCTCCCCTAACATCTAGTGGTGATCTGTAGAAAAGGACTTCAGGAGCTGATCAGGTGATCTGCATGATGGGATTGGTTGCCCAAATAGTCACTTTTGGCTGGCATGTTCAAAGACAGAAAGAATAAAGAATAAACTTATTTAATTCTTCAGGGAAGGACTGTGTTCTGCATAATAGAAGGGGAAAGAGACATAGTTAGGTCACTGCAGAGTAGTGCTGAGCGCTCAGATAAGCAGTTCTTCCTTACTACCTTTCCCTGGTTTTAATCTTTATGTGCTTATGCAAATTATCTTTATATGGCTGATTCATTTGTCATTACAGCAGGAAAAGGGACTTTGCCAGCATACTAAGCTCCCGCTATAGCACAAATGGAAATTGCCAATACTCAGTTCCTCTGACCCCAAGCTTTCTTTTGACATAGCCAGTCTCCCTATTATTGGGGCAGGAGTAATAAAGTGTTGTTATCCTTGTTATGTGAATCCAGGGCAGCAGAACTGTGCTTGGCATTTCCCGATTGAGGGACTCACCCTCAATTAAATGACACTCGCTAGGCAGGGGACATGGGTTCCAAAGCCCAGTGGGTTGAGAGAGGGTAGGGACAGGTACTTGTACCAGGTGGTGTGTGTTTTGCCTAAGGGCCCCAGACACCATTTGACCCTTTCTCTCTCCACTGTGTAATAACAGAGCTAATTTAGACTCAGTGAGAGTCTTGTTACATGCTGCAGAGCTCAAATCACTTATACCTGGGTCTAAGTATTAGACCTGTTTTGGGGCAGTGTCTCTGACACAAGAGACTGCCCAGTGTGTACCAGCAGCAAGGCTCCCC